GGGCAAGATAGCTCCATCTTGCCCGCTCGGGTAGCCAATCACAGCACAGGATTTGATTCATCTTGCCCGCTCACGGAGCTATCCCTATAATAAATCAAATAACTAACCTCTCAAATGTGCTGCTATATTCTTGAATAGGAAATTCATCAATATCAGCAGGATTCTATGAAAAGTTATTATTTATTTTAATATTAGTAAAATCAAAGCTACATTTGCGTTTGAATCAGTTAGTCATTTGCTTACATGAGTTTCTCTAACTGCCCCAAATATCATAAGCTAATGTTTTATGCAAATGCACAATCTGGTATATTTCTTGAGAATACTTCTCCATAACATGGTTACCTGCAATGACGATATGATTGATCACCGCAGTTATACACACAACTTAAGCAGTTGTAAAATTAAAGCGTGAAAAAAAATCAGGCCTGAACGGGATTCGAACCCATGACCTCTGCGATACCGGTGCAGTGCTCTACCAACTGAGCTATCAAGCCAACTGGAGCTGGTTACATTTTGAGTTCGTAATATACCCGTTGATGGTTACCTGCAATTTCTAACTTCCTTTATGCTCTATCAATTTTAAAAAGGGCTTAAACTTAATTCAATGAATACGAGATGATCGATTTTGAACACAACTTTTTGGTATAAGCTCAACGATCAGGTTGATGGAAATATAGGGTAGCTTACCAAGCGTGAAATCTGCTCTATTGACCACCTGAAACTTCGCCGTTTCTGTGACATTTAAGGAGCAAGTAAGATAAAATGGCCGATCAGTGACTGTGAAATGGGAATTCAAAAGGAAGTATTTCGTCTAATTCGATCCAACACGAATTTTCTTACCTTCTGGCTCCCGGGGGTTTCTTGCTTAGAGAACATCGAAGGGCTAAATCCAGGACAGTTTGTGCGTTCTTCGCGGCCACTGTCGAATGGATTCCGCGTTATTTCTAAAGAGGACCATGTAGACATACTGTCTACCATCTTGCACTCGCTTAAAACAAATATTCGTTCACATAAAAAGGAAAATGTTTAGATGTAAACACTGAAATTCCGAAAAATCGAACTGCTTTGTAAAGTAATTTTGAATCTGGCGCTCAGCCGAGGTTGAAAAGAACATTGTAGGAAGAGAGAATCTAAAATTGATCAACAAGGCCTTTTCTGCACGAAAACATCAATCGTCGCTCCTGTAAGACAAATCCAGCGACGAAATTACTGTAGAAGGCTACTTTAAATTATATTTGAGGCGATAAAAGGATCTCAAGTTGATTTACAGGTAATGTTTATTATCGAGGCGTTTCTAAAACCACTTATCGCATGATTGACGGGGCATTTTCTCTCAAAGTTCATTGAAATGGATTCCGCTGTCCAAAAAATGATGTTGAATGTATTCCAAGATGGCGGAAGGCAGGGTTGCCTCTGCGCGGGAAGCAATGGAAGGTACGATTTTTTTCACAGTTATTCGGCATAATTACAAACGTTTCATATCTACAGTTTCCGTTATATGTAATAGTTAACGGTTTTGGGGAACAGCTGGTTTATGGAATAGACTGGAATGAATTACTGTCACTTCGCTCGGCTCCATGGTCAGCTCCTTCGCTCCAAGTCAGTTCGCTCCAAACAAAAGGTAGATCGCTCTACGCAGGCCGGGTTCGCTACATCAGCTAACCGAGTTTGGCTTGGCGTGGATGAAAGAACGAGGAATATCTGTACGCGCGTTGGAGCGAACTGACTAACCATGGAGCCATAGTTAACTATGATGGAGCTAAGTGACCAAATACCATTGAAATAAAAAAAGAGCCAATATTTTTCCAGTGATTTTTTTTTCCATCGATAATGTTTCGATTCGTTGCAAACTTGTGCCGTTTTCAACCCTTCGGATTAGCGTTCCATCAGATTGCCTCACTGCTGCTTACTGTAAGGGGCTACAAGAAACGAAAACCGACACTTTTGTGGAAAGGGTTTCAAGGAGCAAAAAGACGTTTGAACTCTCTGGTGCGCCGATCTTGGAATCTTTAATTTACACTTTTATTGCATAGATTGTTGATGGTTTGCCTTCATATATTAGTCGACAAGCTTACTCCTGTGTATAATTTTTTAGCTTTGGTTGAGATCTCCAAGTTGCTTAACACTGGCCTGGATCCTGAATCTTTAGCAATCTGTGTAAAATTATGTGAAGCAGGAGTGAATCCCGAGGCGCTAGCATCTGTGGTACAAGAGCTAAGAAGAGAAGCTGCATCCCTTCAGGTACATGTGTAAAGCTGTCAAATTATGTCGCTTTGCCTCCCATTAAAACCCAGTAGGCTCTCCTTAGCTCCGATACGGAGTTCAAATAAGCTTTTGTGCTATGCCAGGGGTCAATCTCTTTAGTCATTGCAAGTTGCAAACTTCCCCTTGTTTATTAAGTGGGTGAAGTCTGCATTGGACCAAGTGTCCCATCTTGCCAGAGCATAGACCTTTTCACAGTTTCTGACACCATCTTGCTTGGGGGGCAAACATGGCAAACTTTACAGTAAATGTGTGGGTAAAATGGAGAATCCAGTGTCTAACAACTAAGAGAAAATTCAAGTTTCTGGAATGACACAACAAGTAATTTATGGGTTACTGTTTATGCCCAATTGAAAACAAGTCCTGGTGCACAACATGTCACTTGGAAATGAGTTTGATTCACAACACAATGAACATGCAATAAAAACTCATTTCCATATGAAGGGTTGTACACCAAGACTCATTTTGAAACAGAGGTAAGGGCAGCTTGGTAATGGTTTATTCAAATACCCTTTAATACACCAGGTTAAAGGAAAGCCCTAGGGAGTGAAGTGTTTAGCCTAAAGAAACAACTTTGAGGGCAGAACGTAGCTCAAGTCATCAACTGTTGATCTTATACAGTCTTTCTAATCTTTTGACCCATTCTTCCATACAGAGAAAAAAGGACATGGGGAACAGAGTCCTTTTTCTTAATATCTAGGTTTTAAAGAAGGGGCTTATGTGAGAGGGGCTTGAAAGAACCAGGTGTCTGATTAGAAAATGGATGTCTGTACATAATTAACATTTAACCCAGTTAAATAACCTTGCTCTCCATGAGTTCTCGTAGCTCAGTGGATAGAGTATTCGATAGAGTATTCCCGGTGTTCGGGAGGTCATGGCTTTTATTCCTGTTGGGGACTCAGATTTTTTCTTTGTCCCACGCTCATGTCATGTTGATTAATTCACCTTCACATTTCATTACTGAGCTTAAAATTCACCATCTGTATTCACTTATCACTATATCAATGTTATTCCATTTCAGACCCAAGACATTGGGGAGAGATGAGAGTTGTAAAGATTGCAAGATTTCACTTTTCCAAACACTTTTCCAAACATTGCTACAGCAAACCAGCCTGTTAAAGGAAATCACTTTTTTCAGTGAACAGAACTTTGTAAAGATATATTGGACAAGTTTGTTATTTAATGGTTGTAGAAAATGTATATATGTGGTGTTTATTTTGGTAGTTAGCTTTCTAGAGCAATAATGATAAAAGTTAACTTATAACCTGAGAGAATGTGGTAAATGTCTATTCTGTCAGTATATGTTCAATAAAATCCTAATTTATCGAGGGACTCTGCAAAACATTGGGAGGTCCAAGGAATCAAGGGTACATTTCTTGAAACTGTTTGCCAAGGATTCAAAACAGTTACTTTGAATAATCATGAGGTTCAAAAAGTCAAGAAATAAAGTGTACTGAGCTTTAGATATGTTACAAAGCTTTCTTTTTATTTGACCAGCTGTTGCATCTGTCACTCTTTTGAACAAGCAAAGTATTAAGTCAAGTCATTAAAGTCATTCAATTACCCTTCCTAAATGAAATAATTTTTAAAAATTGCNAATGGATATGTGACACTTCTGTCCATTTCACAACCTGAATATGTGACATTAAACAGTAAGTTAGCCTGTGAATGCACAGCCAGATATTTTTAAGGCTGGAGTGTTCACAGGTCAACACGTTGGAATGATTAATGCACCAAATTTTTATTTCAAGGCCTTATGGCAACATTGTTGATTGAAAAGAAAAGGAAAATGGTTTGTTGAAAAGGGAAAAAAGACATGGTTGACTGAAATACCACATCACTTCATCTGCACAGCTAGTAACCACCCTTAAATCATCCATAAAATAAATTGACAAGAAATATTTATGAAATTGATATGTAATTGTAACTTTCAAACAACACAACTTGTGTCACACAAGTGAAAGAATTACGATGTAGAACATAAATATCCAACAATTGACTGTACATCTCAGTTTAAGTACCTCAATAAGTTCCATGTGTTGAAGACTCTTGTCGGCTTTATTTAATGCTGCTTTGATTGCTGGGACAGGGCCAATTCCCATGATTGATGGTTCCACACCAGCAACAGAGTACGAAACAATTCTGGCCAGTGGCGTAAAGTTGTGCTCTTTAAGGGCTTTCTCACTGACAACGATCAGTGCTGCAGCTCCATCACATATACCCTACAAAAAGAACTGCATTGTTTTACACCTCTGGAAAAAATGTGATGTTATAGCACCCCTGGCAGCAGAATTACTTTTGCTAGAAAAGAGTTTTTTTATTAAAAGTGAAAGACTGAGACTAGGGGTTTCATTAATGTTTTCAGCAGGAGGGAAACTGGTTATCACAGTTGGGCAGAACTATTTGACCTGAACTCTCCCCTAGATGATGAAACCAGGGGGGCAAAATCATACTTGCAGCTAGTCATTTTGCCCGGTGCCCAGCCCTTAATGAAACCACTGTGCGACAGTGCAAAAAAGTCAGACGGGACTTCAGGCCCAATCTTGGCCACAGAGGCCACTTTGTCTTCTGGTCAGCACTGAGAATGGTGACTCTGGCAGGTTATTTTTTGTAAAAACATGCATGGAGTCCTCATTTGCAATAATGTAAGCATATCAGATTTGCACAAAAGTCTATTTATGATGACAAATTAAAACTGGCTAGAGTCTGCATTGTTGATGCTGATTAAAAGAAAAGTGTCTGAGATGAAACTGCAGCAAACTGTTAAGTGTAATTTGAGGAGAAAAGAGAAAACTCAAAAAAGTGAAAGAACAATCAGGTAACTCTACATGCAGTTTCATTACAAGAATAGACAAAATAAAGTTGTCTGGCTTGATGTCTAGGGCTGTCATTAAGAGGCCATAATCCATAACACCTGTTATGGCTGAGTATGCTTGATGGGTCCATGACGTGGCAGTGAACTTGCCTGTTGTTGATGCAGCTCACCCACAAAGTAACAAGTTTGTCATGGATGTGAAGAGCAACACAGCACGTCAGTCAAAACATAATGACAGCCCAAATGACTAAGATCACAGATTTTCTGTGAAGTCAATTCACCTTTAAAACTTTTCAAGTCAGAGCATTAATAAAAATAAAACAAAGTATTTTGCAGACAAAAGCGTCTTACAGAAGCATTAGCAGCAGTGATTGTTCCATCTTTCTTGAAGACTGGAGCTAACTTTGTTAAATGCTCTATTGTACTGTTTGGTTTTGGGTGTTCATCAACCTTAAACTCTTCTGGACCTTTCTTTCCTTTCACAGCCACTGGAACAATTTCTTCTACAAATCGGCCATCCTCATTAGCTAGATGATAGAAAAAATAGGCATACATGTAAATAAAAAATGACAACTACTCATCATTACAAGGTGATCACTGGAACCAAACAATTTCATTTTCCAAATGAATGCAAAGTACATACTGGTAATTATTTATTTTGTTATTTCACTCAAGGAAGAAGTGCATTTTGAGGTGAGAGCCAAAAAAATGAGGAAACCTTAAGAATGTATTTTTTGTGGCCTAAATCAATGTTTGGTTTGAATGTGTTCACACCAATTTTTGTTTCAATTGTCTTTGTTTCGCATGAAAAGTTTGAAAATTTTAAAAACAAAAGCAAAATAATGCTGTAAACCCTGGCAGCAGAGATTTTCTGGAATCCACATCTAAGTAAGCAATAATTTTGTTTTCATGTGTGTCAGCTCTTTAAGATAATTATATAATACTGCTTAAATTAAAGTTTTCCATTACCCTCAGCCCATCTCTTTTGTGATAACAGAGCAAACTCGTCACAGTCTTGTCGTGTGATGTTATATTTCTCAGCAAGATTTTCTCCAGTGACACCCATTGGCATTTTAGCATGAAAATCTGTCAAGCCTTGCCACAGAGTATCTTCCAGCTAGGACAAATATATCAAAAATAATAGGATATGTCATCAAAGGCAAGATATAAATCATGACTACGCTAACATGTTGTAAATTTAAAGGAAAACAGCGAAAATAAATGTTCTAACTTTGGTTATATGGAACAATAACTTAATAGGAAGGACAATAAACCAGTATTTCAATGTCTTCTTCCCTAGAGTAGACTCAGTGGCTCATGAATTGGTGTTGGCATTCAACACTGGGTTTTGCCGCACCCTTTCTTGGGCACCCTTAAAACTTACTTATGCCAAGTGCTTCTCTGTTCATTAGCTAAATCACAGCAAGAAATCCCTCACCTTTAAGTCAAGCCCAAGTTTTGTTCCAAATCTAGCATCTCTCAGGGCATAAGGTGCTTGACTCATATTCTCAGAGCCTCCACACAGCACAACGTCACTCTCACCCAGCTGAATCTCCTGTGCTGCCGTGACAACTGCTTGGAATCCTGAACCACATAGCCTGTTCACTGTTAGTGCAGGAGTTGTAACTGGAACATTGGCTTTTAGGGCAATGTGTCTTGAAATGTATGCCGCATCTGAGGCACTCTGTGAATGAGTATTAAAGAGCAACTAAGGTTTATAGGGTCTCGTTTTGCTAACTTTATGCATGAGGTAATCAGGCAGAATGAGCAGTACATTCTCAGCAAGTATCTGTTAAGACTGCAGCACTGAATTCCTCTGTACAGTTGATGATGCTAGCTACTAAACACTTGGAAATGTTGCAGAAAAAGTACTTCCCTAAAATGTTTTCCTGTTTGTGTGCACACACAACACCTGTTGCCCATGAAATTTCAGAGATCATTTCATTTCTGGGAAACAATAAAATGCTGTTCATTTTTTTCAGGACATTTAGGTTACATGCAGTATTTGATATATGTTTCGCCATTTTGGTCTCATTTAGGGTGTTCCAGACAAAACACAACTATGGTATATTTTAAGGTTGCAAAATGCTGCCATGTCTGTTTTAAAGTGATTATTGGGGGTCAAATAAACCTGGAGCCATGCCCAATTTGGTCTTCTTAATGGGTTCAATTCACATTCCTGCAATGAGCACCCCTGACCTTTTCACATAGAATTCCTCCAACTCCAACCTGTGACCTAGCTCCGATGGATCATGTATACTAAAGGCATCCATAGTCAAGTGTCGATCAATACCCTCGATCGACCTTCGATCCACACTCGATCAATATCTCACTCAACACTTGATCAAAATCGCGACACTAGGTTGACACTCAGTCAATATCTCAATCAACACTTGATGGACATTGGATCGTGTCGGGCAATATACAGCCGAGTGCTGACCAACTCATATGTATTGATTGATTCTTGATAGCATGTCTGCAAAAATTAGTAGACTTTTGACCAAGGTTGAACCAAGATGTCGATCAAGTGTCAACTGAGAGTCAACTGACATGTCAATATAAATCAAGTATTGATGAAGTGTCAAGGGTCGATCGAGGGTATCGATCAACACTTGACTGTTAATACCTTTAGTACACGATCTGACTCAGAAACAAAATCGAGTAAAACTTGCAGTTGTGTCAGGAAGCTGAGGGAATCCCCTGATAAAAAAAAAGAAAAACTGCCGTCCTTATTTTAATATATTTGATGAAGATGAACATGATTTTTGAAAAACTTTTAGCATTGTTCTAAGACTGAAATCTCCGGTGAATATATTAGGTGTTTTGTTGATGTCGCCAAATCTTGGTTTTAATGTCGAGTCACGAAAGTTCAAAGTCCACCTGTACACTTATCGCGACCACGAAAAACAACCTTGTCCGCTATCTATCAGAAATTTTATCCAGTGTAAAATTCCTCTGCCGTGTTCAACTCAGCTGTAGTACAGTCTATTACAGTGCTCACAAACTAAGCTAACGTTTAGAAAATGTTGTACCTGGATGACGTTGCCAAACACAGAGGAATCTACGATCGCAGGATCAACTTTGCCAGCCTCCATTGCCGCTACCGCCGCGTGTTGTCCAAGCACCGTAGCACTCATGCCTTTTAATTTCCCTCCAAATGCACCGAATGCAGTTCTTTTAGCTGCTATGATGTATACTGGCCGAGCAAGACCCGCCATGACTCCGCTGAGCGAAAAATACAATGAGAACTGATGAAAACTACCACGAAGATTTCAAGAGTAGTGCGGCAAAGACAAGTAACCAAGCCTTGGTTAGATTAGGGGTGTAAGGTGGGTGGGAGGAGGGTGGGGGGAAGTTTGTCGCCCGTGACTTTTGTTGCATGACAGCTATTTACCTAGGATCAACTTGGGTTATTATATTTTGCTTAATAATCTACAGTCCAAAGCTAGGTCAGACCCCAGAAGAACTAAATTAAACAATACCTGTTAAAGCCATTAATCAAGCCAACATTGGCCTAATATTTCTACGCAGTGACGCAAGTACAACCCGCTCAAGAGTTCAAAGTGCACATTGTGAGGTCATTGAATTTTTATTTTATTTTTTTAAATTTTAGTAGCAGGACCTCTGTTGATAGCAGTTTTATTTATAGAGCTGACAGAGTTACCCTGAAAAAATAAAGGTTTGCTTTCTTACTATATGCAGACTTTTATAGTTACATGAAGTGAAAAGTCACTGGAGAGTGGTTCCCGTATTCCTACCGCAACTTCACTGCTTCTGTTCCCCGAACAAGCACTAAGGTTAGAGTCTTTTCATGAATTTCANGATACTGAAGCATTGTTCTTAGCAATGAAAGCTGTAATTTACATGAACAAAAAGACCTCTTAAATCCTTGCTGCTATATCTATTTTCTTCAAAATGTTTTTCACATGTAAACTATGCATCAGTACATCTTTATGAAATTGTCTTCAGCATCACTTCCTCAACTGCTAGGAATCTCATTGTAAATTTTCAAGAACAACTGCTATTCCTTGTCCGCCTCCTATACATGCCGATCCAATAGCATATTTAGCACCTCTACGCCGCAGCTCATGCACCAAATGTCCTGTGATTCTCGCTCCTGAGGTTCCTACAGGATGACCTAAAGCAATTGCACCTCCATTGATGTTTGTCTTGGCCATGTCCAGCTCAAGCTCTCTTTGAACAGCAAGAAATTGGGGAGCAAATGCTTCGTTAACCTGGAGAGATTGCAAAAACAAAAATGGTCTGTTGCGTAAACCTCTCTTGTACTGTTTTAATCTACACAAACGAGATTAGGCCAATGACTCTCAAACTTCAATTTCCATTAGCCCATTTGAGTGTTTGCCTCTTATTTAGGGATGCTGTTTAAGTAAACAGGGAAAAGGAAGAGGTTACACATCATAAATGATTTGAGAAACAATGGATATGTGACACTTCTGTCCATTTCACAACCTGAATATGTGACATTAAACAGTAAGTTAGCCTGTGAATGCACAGCCAGATATTTTTAAGGCTGGAGTGTTCACAGGTCAACACGTTGGAATGATTAATGCACCAAATTTTTATTTCAAGGCCTTATGGCAACATTGTTGATTGAAAAGAAAAGGAAAATGGTTTGTTGAAAAGGGAAAAAAGACATGGTTGACTGAAATACCACATCACTTCATCTGCACAGCTAGTAACCACCCTTAAATCATCCATAAAATAAATTGACAAGAAATATTTATGAAATTGATATGTAATTGTAACTTTCAAACAACACAACTTGTGTCACACAAGTGAAAGAATTACGATGTAGAACATAAATATCCAACAATTGACTGTACATCTCAGTTTAAGTACCTCAATAAGTTCCATGTGTTGAAGACTCTTGTCGGCTTTATTTAATGCTGCTTTGATTGCTGGGACAGGGCCAATTCCCATGATTGATGGTTCCACACCAGCAACAGAGTACGAAACAATTCTGGCCAGTGGCGTAAAGTTGTGCTCTTTAAGGGCTTTCTCACTGACAACGATCAGTGCTGCAGCTCCATCACATATACCCTACAAAAAGAACTGCATTGTTTTACACCTCTGGAAAAAATGTGATGTTATAGCACCCCTGGTAGCAGAATTACTTTTGCTAGAAAAGAGTTTTTTTATTAAAAGTGAAAGACTGAGACTAGGGGTTTCATTAATGTTTTCAGCAGGAGGGAAACTGGTTATCACAGTTGGGCAGAACTATTTGACCTGAACTCTCCCCTAGATGATGAAACCAGGGGGGCAAAATCATACTTGCAGCTAGTCATTTTGCCCGGTGCCCAGCCCTTAATGAAACCACTGTGCGACAGTGCAAAAAAGTCAGACGGGACTTCAGGCCCAATCTTGGCCACAGAGGCCACTTTGTCTTCTGGTCAGCACTGAGAATGGTGACTCTGGCAGGTTATTTTTTGTAAAAACATGCATGGAGTCCTCATTTGCAATAATGTAAGCATATCAGATTTGCACAAAAGTCTATTTATGATGACAAATTAAAACTGGCTAGAGTCTGCATTGTTGATGCTGATTAAAAGAAAAGTGTCTGAGATGAAACTGCAGCAAACTGTTAAGTGTAATTTGAGGAGAAAAGAGAAAACTCAAAAAAGTGAAAGAACAATCAGGTAACTCTACATGCAGTTTCATTACAAGAATAGACAAAATAAAGTTGTCTGGCTTGATGTCTAGGGCTGTCATTAAGAGGCCATAATCCATAACACCTGTTATGGCTGAGTATGCTTGATGGGTCCATGACGTGGCAGTGAACTTGCCTGTTGTTGATGCAGCTCACCCACAAAGTAACAAGTTTGTCATGGATGTGAAGAGCAACACAGCACGTCAGTCAAAACATAATGACAGCCCAAATGACTAAGATCACAGATTTTCTGTGAAGTCAATTCACCTTTAAAACTTTTCAAGTCAGAGCATTAATAAAAATAAAACAAAGTATTTTGCAGACAAAAGCGTCTTACAGAAGCATTAGCAGCAGTGATTGTTCCATCTTTCTTGAAGACTGGAGCTAACTTTGTTAAATGCTCTATTGTACTGTTTGGTTTTGGGTGTTCATCAACCTTAAACTCTTCTGGACCTTTCTTTCCTTTCACAGCCACTGGAACAATTTCTTCTACAAAGCGGCCATCCTCATTAGCTAGATGATAGAAAAAATAGGCATACATGTAAATAAAAAATGACAACTACTCATCATTACAAGGTGATCACTGGAACCAAACAATTTCATTTTCCAAATGAATGCAAAGTACATACTGGTAATTATTTATTTTGTTATTTCACTCAAGGAAGAAGTGCATTTTGAGGTGAGAGCCAAAAAAATGAGGAAACCTTAAGAATGTATTTTTTGTGGCCTAAATCAATGTTTGGTTTGAATGTGTTCACACCAATTTTTGTTTCAATTGTCTTTGTTTCGCATGAAAAGTTTGAAAATTTTAAAAACAAAAGCAAAATAATGCTGTAAACCCTGGCAGCAGAGATTTTCTGGAATCCACATCTAAGTAAGCAATAATTTTGTTTTCATGTGTGTCAGCTCTTTAAGATAATTATATAATACTGCTTAAATTAAAGTTTTCCATTACCCTCAGCCCATCTCTTTTGTGATAACAGAGCAAACTCGTCACAGTCTTGTCGTGTGATGTTATATTTCTCAGCAAGATTTTCTCCAGTGACACCCATTGGCATTTTAGCATGAAAATCTGTCAAGCCTTGCCACAGAGTATCTTCCAGCTAGGACAAATATATCAAAAATAATAGGATATGTCATCAAAGGCAAGATATAAATCATGACTACACTAACATGTTGTAAATTTAAAGGAAAACAGCGAAAATAAATGTTCTAACTTTGGTTATATGGAACAATAACTTAATAGGAAGGACAATAAACCAGTATTTCAATGTCTTCTTCCCTAGAGTAGACTCAGTGGCTCATGAATTGGTGTTGGCATTCAACACTGGGTTTTGCCGCACCCTTTCTTGGGCACCCTTAAAACTTACTTATGCCAAGTGCTTCTCTGTTCATTAGCTAAATCACAGCAAGAAATCCCTCACCTTTAAGTCAAGCCCAAGTTTTGTTCCAAATCTAGCATCTCTCAGGGCATAAGGTGCTTGACTCATATTCTCAGAGCCTCCACACAGCACAACGTCACTCTCACCCAGCTGAATCTCCTGTGCTGCCGTGACAACTGCTTGGAATCCTGAACCACATAGCCTGTTCACTGTTAGTGCAGGAGTTGTAACTGGAACATTGGCTTTTAGGGCAATGTGTCTTGAAATGTATGCCGCATCTGAGGCACTCTGTGAATGAGTATTAAAGAGCAACTAAGGTTTATAGGGTCTCGTTTTGCTAACTTTATGCATGAGGTAATCAGGCAGAATGAGCAGTACATTCTCAGCAAGTATCTGTTAAGACTGCAGCACTGAATTCCTCTGTACAGTTGATGATGCTAGCTACTAAACACTTGGAAATGTTGCAGAAAAAGTACTTCCCTAAAATGTTTTCCTGTTTGTGTGCACACACAACACCTGTTGCCCATGAAATTTCAGAGATCATTTCATTTCTGGGAAACAATAAAATGCTGTTCATTTTTTTCAGGACATTTAGGTTACATGCAGTATTTGATATATGTTTCGCCATTTTGGTCTCATTTAGGGTGTTCCAGACAAAACACAACTATGGTATATTTTAAGGTTGCAAAATGCTGCCATGTCTGTTTTAAAGTGATTATTGGGGGTCAAATAAACCTGGAGCCATGCCCAATTTGGTCTTCTTAATGGGTTCAATTCACATTCCTGCAATGAGCACCCCTGACCTTTTCACATAGAATTCCTCCAACTCCAACCTGTGACCTAGCTCCGATGGATCATGTATACTAAAGGCATCCATAGTCAAGTGTCGATCAATACCCTCGATCGACCTTCGATCCACACTCGATCAATATCTCACTCAACACTTGATCAAAATCGCGACACTAGGTTGACACTCAGTCAATATCTCAATCAACACTTGATGGACATTGGATCGTGTCGGGCAATATACAGCCGAGTGCTGACCAACTCATATGTATTGATTGATTCTTGATAGCATGTCTGCAAAAATTAGTAGACTTTTGACCAAGGTTGAACCAAGATGTCGATCAAGTGTCAACTGAGAGTCAACTGACATGTCAATATAAATCAAGTATTGATGAAGTGTCAAGGGTCGATCGAGGGTATCGATCAACACTTGACTGTTAATACCTTTAGTACACGATCTGACTCAGAAACAAAATCGAGTAAAACTTGCAGTTGTGTCAGGAAGCTGAGGGAATCCCCTGATAAAAAAAAAGAAAAACTGCCGTCCTTATTTTAATATATTTGATGAAGATGAACATGATTTTTGAAAAACTTTTAGCATTGTTCTAAGACTGAAATCTCCGGTGAATATATTAGGTGTTTTGTTGATGTCGCCAAATCTTGGTTTTAATGTCGAGTCACGAAAGTTCAAAGTCCACCTGTACACTTATCGCGACCACGAAAAACAACCTTGTCCGCTATCTATCAGAAATTTTATCCAGTGTAAAATTCCTCTGCCGTGTTCAACTCAGCTGTAGTACAGTCTATTACAGTGCTCACAAACTAAGCTAACGTTTAGAAAATGTTGTACCTGGATGACGTTGCCAAACACAGAGGAATCTACGATCGCAGGATCAACTTTGCCAGCCTCCATTGCCGCTACCGCCGCGTGTTGTCCAAGCACAGTAGCACTCATGCCTTTTAATTTCCCTCCAAATGCACCGAATGCAGTTCTTTTAGCTGCTATGATGTATACTGGCCGAGCAAGACCCGCCATGACTCCGCTGAGCGAAAAATACAATGAGAACTGATGAAAACTACCACGAAGATTTCAAGAGTAGTGCGGCAAAGACAAGTAACCAAGCCTTGGTTAGATTAGGGGTGTAAGGTGGGTGGGAGGAGGGTGGGGGGAAGTTTGTCGCCCGTGACTTTTGTTGCATGACAGCTATTTACCTAGGATCAACTTGGGTTATTATATTTTGCTTAATAATCTACAGTCCAAAGCTAGGTCAGACCCCAGAAGAACTAAATTAAACAATACCTGTTAAAGCCATTAATCAAGCCAACATTGGCCTAATATTTCTACGCAGTGACGCAAGTACAACCCGCTCAAGAGTTCAAAGTGCACATTGTGAGGTCATTGAATTTTTATTTTATTTTTTTAAATTTTAGTAGCAGGACCTCTGTTGATAGCAGTTTTATTTATAGAGCTGACAGAGTTACCCTGAAAAAATAAAGGTTTGCTTTCTTACTATATGCAGACTTTTATAGTTACATGAAGTGAAAAGTCACTGGAGAGTGGTTCCCGTATTCCTACCGCAACTTCACTGCTTCTGTTCCCCGAACAAGCACTAAGGTTAGAGTCTTTTCATGAATTTCAACGTTTTCCTAAATGGCATCGTCCCTTGTTACTCTAGCATTTTTATTCCACTGATGTATATTTTGGCCCAAATTCTTATTTCTCTGCATGGATTTTCTCAAATTTTAGGGTGTAGTGGTCCGTCCACACACGTTTCTTTTCTTTTTTTTTTTTCGTTACAAGTTCTTATTTAATGAATTTTAGTATTTTATCATTATTGTAATTTAATATATTTTCCTTATATTGGTTTCATTATCGTTTTTCTCATTTTTATTCTGTAAGAGCACTGAGATTTTTTAATGTAATGCGCTAGAAATAAATTATTATTATTATTATTATTATTCTTTTCCCGGGGCCACCGCCTTGCGTTCGGACTTTTTCAAATCCCCTACAGTTAATACTTTTGCTTGCGATTTCGACGAACTGAAGACAACACAGAGGGTCTGAGAGGTCTGAGGACAGGCCCGCAAACTGATATCCATCATCAGCTCCTGTTGCACTTGCACCACGAAGAGACAAGAAAAAACCGAGATCAAGAACATTTCTATATCAAGCCAAGAAAAGGAAACAAAAATTCTATATAAGCTTTACACGTAATCGGCCGACAAGCATAAAAGAAGACATAGTTATCCCAGTCAAGAGTCTTCAGTGTCCCACTGCACTTCAAGTGATAGGTTCGGATTTGACGTCCCCTCGCCAGGGTCCGATAGGAGCTTAGGCAAACCACGACGGCGATGCCAACGAGAACGTCACCAAACGAAAGGCTAAAATGAGTAGAACAGTGGCTGTGCACGTGCGTTGTAAATCTTTGTACATTTCTTAGTCGTCCTCTGCAAAGCAATTAACGTGAAATGACAAGTTCTGCGTATTTTGGAGAACGCGAACGCGGCAGCAAATTTTTCGTATTTTCGTAATTTCGTATTGGGAACTGAACGCTGGGATTGCACTTTTAGCTTGAGCAAGCATTGAGCCCGACAGGTGCACTGAACAGATCTAGACAATTGTGAAATGAGAAGGTAAAATCTAAATTCATTTCTCACTGGGAGTTGTCCTCGGGGTTGCCGTGTCATTGCGAAGGTTCCCTATTGTGTTGTGCCATGAGGCAGGACATTCATCATAGGGATGAATATGGGACACGCCTAGAAATAATTTCGGTACGGCTTTTGAGTACTTTTTCTGCGTTTATTCTTTGTTTGTTACAACTATTGGTTAAAATGACTCATTCAGTTTTTTGTTAACCAAAGAGAGAGGGACAGAACAGGACTCGTTTAAGACCAAGCTTATCTCCTGCTCAGGCGACATTGCGTTTTGTCGGCCAACGTTCAAACAGCGGGAAAAAAAAGAGCACTAGAACTAGACTTCCTACAAATTAATCTGCGAAAGGCAAGCTGGAACCCTCAAAACCCAGGTGTGAAGAGCGCGAGGCAGACGAGCGATAGCTTCACTTTCGCACCTGGACTACTTAAAAATGCGAAGGACTTGTACCATGATGGCTACGTTTATGTCTTTATTTTTTGAAATTGGATGTGATATTTCGTTACCTAAGGACAGTTCTAATTTGAGAATGCAACAATCACCGGTCATTTTGGGTTTGTGTTTGAGGAAAACTCGGTCAGGGAAATCACAGGATTATCCCTTAGATCTTTTATAGTAGTAACATGTTCTTAGGTAATTTAGTTTACAGTCAAACCAAGTGAAGCGTACCCCTCAAGATTACATTAATGGATTGATTATTTGAATAATGAACTCACTTGTCACTTCAAAACTCAATATTAAATTGATTTTTTTGAACATTAAGCCCATTAGCCGTATTCTTGGAACAACTAGTGGATTCTATTTTCCAATAATCAATTCATTTTTGCATTCTTGAAACGAGTGGCGGGTTCAATATTCAAATAATCAATTCATTAATGCAATCTTGAGGGGTATGCTTTACTTGGTGTGACTGTAATATTTAACACTAATTTTACATACATTTTTACTTTGTTCCATCCACAGGAAAACGCAAAGCCGGCGTTTTCATATTCCTCCTGTTTGAAGAGTGCTTTCGAAAAGCTCCGTTTTCATCGCGGTTTAGTGTGGTCGGTAGGCCTAACCGTAGAAATAATGCTGCGTTTTCAAATTCCTCCAGCTTTGTGTGGACGGGCCTTAGCATCACTGAGCTGGTTGTTTTTAAAAGTCCTTACTAACGCCTTTTGGCAAACTTTGCTCGGATAGCCAAATTGAAGCTTTACTATTATATGAATAACTGTTTCTGTTCTCAAAACCATACATTATAAAAAGCATAGAATCAAACCGGCTATACTATCTACAGGTGCTTTGTTGGCATATAGTTAGCTTAGTTCACACAGTCGCATGTTCAAATACAGGACAGCACTCTACATCTAACACAACATGGTCAATATGAGGTGCATAAGACTTGACATGCTCAATGTGCCCTATTTGGACATTCCAGTTTGGGTTGTCATGTGATTTCTTCAGATGTTTCAACAGAGTTTGAGCCACATACTTGGCCCAGTCTAGCCACTCTGCCTTCACTTTCTTGTTACAAGATGGTGTGTTGTTCTCTTCCAAGAGAAAATGATCACATCTGTCTGAAACTTCAGAACAGTACAAAGTAGATATAGAGCTTGCAGTGCTAGGGTTTTCTTCTTCACTTGATACAAAAGTTGTTCCCAGTAATGATAATGCAGAAACTGTTCTATCATTTGCTGTTTTTCCACTGTCTGTTAGCCCTGATGTAACATTGCCATGTACATGCAGCCAGCCTCCTTTGTCAGAACGTAGTGCAGCACAGGCCACAGGCCACCCAGCTTCACTGGAAGGGATGAGACCAAGATTGACGCGATCTGCAACTCCTTGAAGAGGAAACTGATCAACAAAAGTAAACAAGTTCAGTGAGATCAATTTTAAAGGAGACACATTTGTGATAAGAGACAAAAGAGAAACAGATGGACAGGCAAACTGACTTACACAAAGATATACTTACAAACTGACTGTCTGCCAAGCTAACTGAAAGACACATTTTGATTGATTAATTGACTGGCTGACCGACCAACGGACCGACCAACCAACTGACGGACCGACCGACCGACTGATCGATTGATTGATAATGCACCAACTGAACATATTTTGGACTGACCAGAAGATTAGGCAATTGACCTCTTACCAGTTAAATTGAATAATATTTTTATAGTAGACTGAGTAAATGTACAACGCATTACACAGCGGCTTATAGTTCTGGACAGTTCTGTTATCTATGAAACAAATATCCTTAATCTGCTTGTTACCTTCACATTGTCTCCTTCATATATGACACACTGTTTATCAACACCATTTAACTTCAAGTTTCTTTTCAAAGCTTCTATAGCATTTTCATTCCATTCACAAGCATAAACCAAGGCAGCCTTGGAATGGACCAGGTATGGCAAAACAAAGTAGCCGATGCCAGCATAAAGGTCAACGACAGTTTGACCATGGCAGTCAAAGTTTCCAACTCTCATTTTCTCTGTTATGTTTCCTGCTGAGAACATGCATTTAGTAACATCAAAAGTGTATTTTATACCATTGTCAATGTGTGTCACCCAACCATTGTCACCTAGAAGCAGGCTGACTTTGGGAGTTCTGAAACCATCATTGTTTATAGTTGATTTCTTGGCAAGTCTTGCAACACCAAGACTCTTGGCGACAACTTTCCATAATTCCTCACCAAAATGTACCCATTTGTTGAAGGTGAAACTATTCTCTGGTAAAAGAATGAGGTCTCCATGCTGTTCCCAGTGAAGTGGGATGTCATTTTGTAAGAAAGCATCATGAGTGACACCTTTTATTTGAAACAAGTTGTCAATAGCAGGCCTTAGTTTCTCTTGAGGGGATACCTTGCGCTGTCTTATATTCAGTGCATGTCCGTCGATGTGTTCAATTCTCCCCTCAAAGGAAAACAACAGAGATTTCTCAATTTCTCCCATTCGTTCATTTTTCAGTTGTTCAGCCAGTTCTTGTTTGATAGGAATCATTACTTCTTCTTCAGAGTAACTCGCCACTTTTCTTTCTTTATCATAGAACCTTTTCTCCTCCAAACATTTCCTAAGGAAATAAACACCATTTCTGCCATTAAAGGAGGAATTTCACTTCGTAATTTTCAAGACTAAAATGACAAATCATTTTATGACAAATCAGTTATAATCAATGGAAATGGAATTATGGCAAAATTGTACATATAATATAATTTTCTTATCTGTCATAAGCAAAAGCTGAGGATCTTCTTTCAAAAGCTCAAGAGAACTTGCTAAGATTTCTGACAGCTGAAAGTATTAGTTGTAAAATGTTACATGTGATGGGCGAATAAAACTAATTTCCAAACAAAAAAAAAGATTATAATGGTGCGTCTTAGCAGATTGTTTTTCGTCAAGATGGCTATGATAAGCAACTCACCTTGCTTTTTGAGCATTCTTTTTGGATGTGACATAAACCCAGGCCATTCTGCGCTCAAATCACGTAACATGCACGTTAGCGAATAACATAAAGTAATTAATGTACAAAGACGCGCTCAATCCGCTTTTTCAAGTCGCAAGTCGCCACCATGTTGGCCGTGTCTGGACTGGAAACCAGACTGAAAACGCGGTAATGTCAGCGGGGTGTCCCATTAGTTCCAGTTTTAGGCGGCCCGTGGATAAAATGGCGGAGTTCAATGTGTTTTCTGCTGTATTTCTGGGTGCTATTGCAGCTTTTATCGGGGTCATTACGTTCCTCGTGTACAAGCTGAGAATCTTGCATAAGTACATTTACAAGGTAGGAAAGTTTTCAGTGATTTTTGTGGGAAAAAAATTAAAATTTTGCCCTCGTAAAATCACTATTAAAATGGAAGGAATCTTTTTTCAACAGACGTGTAGATCACAAGAAAATAATCTTACAATATACTTTTTTTTTTGAGACATCGAAAAAAAGTGTAAATGCTTAATGCTACTAAGAACCTTACGTTATATTCTTTTTCTTGTCACGTTCTCTAAATACGCTGAATAGCTTCTGTTTCCGTATAGTCCCAGGGATAAAAGGGGTGTTTTGGGGGCAGGTACAAACTAGCTCTGGCCAGATGATCTCGGAAATGTCAATTAGTTTTTACGCCTCGTCCTTGAACTGATTCCCAGTAATCTGATCGAGTTTTTTATCTGCCTGTATTATTGTCTCTTTTAGTAAGAGGGTCAAACTAGTATTATACAAGTTTTTGTCTTTGTAAAGGGAAGAACATTTCATTAACCAGTGTATCCGCCAGAGCGCGCCATTGCGGGAATCCCACATTACAATCAGAGATGGCCTGCAGAAAAACAATAAAAGGGCCAATTTGGCCCTTTACTTTTACAAGACTGCAGGCGTAACACAGGCATAATATTTTAAAAGCCATCCCAGGGCTTGTAATTGTGATCGATACGGTCGCCAATGCAACAAGCATTTCGTCCTTGGCAACCAAAAATTCCGGTTTAGTCGCCATAATACGGCATAATGGCGACTACATTTCTCTGTGTTGACGATCAATAACGGTTATTTTGTCACACATTATGTCCTTCTAGAAAATCATATTGAAAGATATTTGCTTCTAAAACATTTAACATTAGAAAAGAAGTCAACCCATCCTTTTGCATTGCTGTATTGATTCTCTCACATTGGAAAGCTTCCAAATGACTGATCGTGTTACAATGCATTGCCCTACAATGCATTGCAAACCCTTGATCAATGACTCCGTCATGTATGCCTAAGGATTCTTCTCTTGTAATGCACGGATCCCTCATACTAGTATCTGATTCAAAAGAAACTTTATTGAGTAGAAACACTTCAAAAAGCACTTACTATTAAATTTTATCATAGATCCTAATAAATTGCTTTATTTTCCTTGCTACCATGATGCATTTTTTCCTTCTGTAGCTTTCAATTTATTGGCCCCGTTCCTAAAAAATTGGCCCCTAAAAAAGATCTTCAGGGGCCACTTTGGCCCTCAAGTAAAATTTTCTGGCTGAAACACTGTTAACGGTGGTCAAAGTAATATTTTAGTTAGTAAAATAATTCAGCTACAATCCTTTATGGCCTCTTTCTTCCCAGGATGGGATACACCATCATATGAGAACTTGGGATGGGTTGAAAGGGAAGTGTCAGACGTCAACTTTCAGCTTTGACCAATAACTCGTGTCAAGAGTCGACATCCCTCTTGACCAGTAGTCAGGAAATGCAAGGGGACACAGGCTTTGGCTACTTCATCATGAAGCTACCTAACAATCTATTGAGTAGTGTTCATGTATAAATTATTATAAAGCATTAATAACACCCTACGTTTTTACTCTTAGCTTGATGAAAACAGTAACAGACATGGTGGGGAGTTGGTTGGTGAAGTTTTACAAGTTAGTGACCATTAAGCATTTTTATATATATATTTTTTTAATATAGTAAAATGTTTTACAATTAATTGGTAAAAAATGTGGTACAATTTATACTTGTTTTGAACATTCTGCTTATATCTCCTATTCATTTTATAGTCCCATGGGGTCAAGTTTGTCTTCACGCTGTGTGGTGGCCACATTTCCCCAATTTTGGTTTCATGTCAAAATCTAGGAATCAGAGTTGTTGACACAAGACATGAGGTAATGTTACCTGTAGTTACCTTTATTGTGGAGGATTCCTTAAATTCTGCATTATGCATGACTTAATATTATCCTAAGTTTGTAATCCATTAGGTAAGTTGATCGCCCAAGTTCTTTGTATAGTCCAGTTTTGCGTCTCTCTCTGTCACGCAATATGCTCTCGCAAGAGTGGGGTACTGCTAGTACTTGGTCAAGTAGACCTGTGTTAACAGTAGGACTTTTAGTCAAAGACAACTACTGTAATTGCTGATTAATAAGTGTGGTCATAATACCAATGAACTGTCTATCCCAAGTGATAATGTTACTATCGTCGTTATACTCAGGTCACAGCTGTATTTGCAGCGGATGCTGTTGCAAGGTTATCGGGTGTTGTAGGCGTGGCTGCAGTCACTGCTGGGCCTGGTAAGGAGTCACATATTTTCTTTCATGATTATTGTCAGCCACATGTATATTGTTGAATTTCTAAGGGTGAGTTACCTCGCTAGATCTTCAAGGCTGTGGAAACCATTCCCTTTATTTGTGAATATTATTATGTAAATCTAAAAGTGACAGCTGACAGAGCTTGTTGACCATTTCAGGTTTAACCAATACAGTTACAGCTGTGAAAAATGCACAAATGGCAGAATCACCTGTCCTATTGTTAGGTGGGGCAGCAGCTACCTTGCTCAAGGTTTGTAATCCTTGGCCAATGTACTGTTAATCAGTACATTTATGTAGCATAATGATATTTCTGTCTGATTTTCGCATCAGTACTGTATGCTTTTAACCCTCGCTGTTTCTTTTTTCAGGGACGAGGAGCACTGCAAGATATTGATCAGATGAGTCTGTTTAAACCCTTATGTAAATACTGTGCGACAGTTACAAGGTAACATTTTGTTTCAATGAAAATACTGTCAATAAGATAATGTAACATTAATAATGTTAAAACTGTTAAGAAATAGAAAATTTTCAAAATGTGTCTGTATTCTTGTGGACCATAAAATAATCTGGCCGTAGTTGCAAGTAAATACCAAATAGAGCACAATTGAATAAGTTATGAGTATTTACAGTTACAGTTACAAGTATTTCATAATAGTTTACTTTTGCCAACAGGGTAGCTGACATTGTGCCAGTTTTAAGAAAGGCCATTCAGATTGCACAGTCAGGAACACCAGGTAAAAATTAGCCTGCAGTTTACAATTGATTTGTAACTTAAAATTTATGTTATACAGCCTTATTTATAATCCACAAGATTACAACATCTTCAGGTATCAGAGTATAACTTGTAATGTAACATATTTTGGGAGGCTTGGAGGGAGTCATGTCTGTTTTTTTAACTAATAAAATAAAAATTGGCATAATCCCATCCATGATCTTGATTTTATGCTATTAATGCTATTTTTAATTTGTTTTTACTTAGTCTATAGTAAATGTTGTAATTTTCTTTTGATTTCAGGTCCTGTGTTTGTAGAGTTCCCTATTGATACACTTTATCCTTATCCTCTGGTGAAAAAAGAGTCTGGGGTTAAGGTGTGTAAGTCTGACACTGGATAAAATTGGCTTTTACTATACTGTCAGTCCTTGGCCTAATTAGTTGCCACATTTGACTTCAGATCCATTAAAACAATACATTTGTGCATTATATTTTCTGATCAAATGCTTGCATAATTTTTTAGGCTGAAGACTAAACTGTGAAAATCCAGGCAGTGTTATTTATTTATTACTGAACAGATTAAGGCCACATGCTAAATTTGGTGAAATTTGAGGTAAATTAAAAACAAGATGACTGAAAAAAGTCTCCAACTGTAGTGTTAGTCTAGACCTTTCAATTAGTAATTTGTAAACAAATCAAAGTTACCATTATATTATACATTCATGGGAAACTTTCTTCTAAAAATAAAGCCACTGCCTGTGACAACCAGTTAATATATAGCCAGCTTTTATTAAATGTACAAGAAAATATATTATTATACTACAAGTATGTTTTAGAATTACATGTAAAGTCTTGTGTCCTATCTCATCTAGTTTAAAAAATAAACTATACTAAACTAAGCAGAATAATTATCCAAAGGGTACTGTCACTCACATACAGTGTATGGCTTGGATAGCATTTTTTGATTTAATAGTTAATTTTAAATGGTTTCGATTGTTATTTCCAGGATGATCCTCATGGATTGTCTCAACGCTTAGTAAATTGGTAAGTAACCATTGGTCTTTAATTCCAACCACTAGTTTAATTCTAAGGTAATCTTTTATATTTTTGCCTGTGCTGTCACAGTTTCATGCAGGGCACACTTTGTTGGGCAGGTCAAAACAGACATTTGAATGGTTTAAGATTCAATTTCAATACAGTTTGCACATGATTGTTGCCTACAGTACACTGTAGTTGTAAACATGTATTAGGCAGAATAATTAAACCGCAATAATCATTATCTCACTGCTCATGTGCATTCTTCGTAAGGTATATTACTAACCACCTTCATGGCTTGTTTGCTGGAGCCTGGGACCCTCAAACTAAAGATCCATTACCAGTCGACATTCCACTGCCAATTGCATCACAGGGTATGTCACAGATTTTTGTCCCAGCTGTATAAATTAAACATAATAACATATTACAATTAATAATTGTAATAAAAAGGAGGAATTAAAACATTACACTACAGAACTGTTTCAAAAGGGCCTCGTGGTCCTCTCTCATCAGGTGAATGAAACACTGACCAACTAAGGTTCCTTTTATAGGCTGATCTTTCAAGCATGCTTTATTAAGTACTTGCTTGTATACCAGCACATATTACATGTATATGAATGGGTGACGAATGGTAAAATCCAAGACTTGGCAAGAAAATTCTTGTTTGGAAATCCTAGACTGGCAGACATTCCTGGGAGAATATCACAAGAATTCAGACTCGAGAATTAGTAGAACTTTGTGTTCACTGAGAGCAAGATTTATAAACTTCAACCCTGCTCCAAGTCTAGTAAAATAGATAGTCATATAATTATGTGACAACCTTTTTGCAAGAAACTCAGTTGAAGTAGATTGATTGTGGCCTAATTTAAACCTTTAAAATGGCTTATATAATAAATGATTATTAGAGAGGCATTGATCAGGACTTTGCATACTCTTTAAATCCTATGCTTTGTTAATATTTTTTTAAATTGGCATTTACAGTCTGTACATGTAATGAATGAAACAGAATTTTTCTCTGTATTCAATAAACTGCATGATGTCCCTTTCAGTTGATGAATGTGTGAAACTAGTGTCCAAGTCCACTCGGCCAGTAATTATATTAGGAAGTCAGTCTACATTGCCTCCAGTTCCAGCTGATCAACTCAGGCAAGCTTTAGAGGTAAAACAACACTGCCTTTGTCGTTTTTGGTTTTCCTTTTAATTGCATGCCACTTACCCTGAAATCTGTTGAAGAAATAATCCCTGTTCCATCCAAATCCTGCATCAGAGAATAAACATTGTCCACAATCAAACCTTTCTTGTTCACTTGGGTAGCCAATCACAGCACAGGATTTGGTTATTTCTTGTCTACTCTTAGAGCTAGCCATGTGATAATTTAATATTTTATATTTGCTATCAGGCACTAGGTGTCCCTTGTTTCCTGGGAGGCATGGCTCGTGGTCTGCTGGGAAGAAATAGTAATCTTCATATACGGCAACGGAGAAGAGATGCCTTAAAAGAGGCAGATCTTGTTATTTTAGCAGGTATGGTTAGAAATAATAGCAAAAAAAATACTGGCAATAAGAAAATTGTGTGTGATTTTGTTTTCATGCTAATTCTTTAGTTTGGTGCCGGTTCAGAAAAGTACACAGATAAAAACTTTGATGGGAAAAGGTTAAATTAACTTCTAAAACCATATATTATGGAAAAAGTGTAGCTGTAATGAGTGCAAGTGTATCTTGTTGACACAATGTTAATAAACCCAAGAAGGTTATTGAAATCAAATTAAACGTTGAATTATAATTCAATCAAATGTGAAAGCTTGACCATGACACAAATCTACTATAATTCATGACTTTGTTTAGTTGGAAGTTAAACAATGTTAAGTGGGCTCTATGATCTTTTTGTGAGGTCCATGTTAAGTACCATACCGGTACTTGTCAGCTGTCGGTAATCACACTTCTGTTTTGTTGGACTATAGGTACTGTTTGTGACTTTAGGTTATCTTATGGTAGAGTACTGAACAGAAAATCCAAGATCATTGCAGTGAATAGGAACAAAAGCCAACTTTTCAAGGTAAATTATTTATAACACTGTGGTATTTGTGACACATTTTGTTTTAGGTATCAGTACTAATTAAAAATATTTTTGAATGTTACATATAAATTTGTTTTTCATGCTAACACTTTTGGCAATCTGACTTCCAGAATTCAGATATGTTTTGGAAGCCCACAGTTGCTATTCAAGGTGAGAAGTGTTCATGAATTAAATAGCAATCAAGATAAATTCTGTCAAATTAAATTTCTTTGTGAACAAAGCTGGATTTTACATTTAATTCCATGTCACTTATTGCACAGACATTCAGGTAGTCTGTCAAAACATCTAGTGCAACATATGCCGTGAAATAGAATATCAGATGAACCACTTCATTTTATTGCAAGAAAGTCTGCGTTATTTGGTCAAGTGTCCTGATAGATGTCAGAGCTTATCCTGGGCTGGTTTAACAACAGTTATCAACTACACCTAGCAGTATTTCATCCTCTCAGTGGATTACATGCTTGTCCACTGCATGGTATGGGCACCTGCAAATTTACTGCATGGTGTAAAGCTGTGATGGACTAGCATCCCTTCCCATGGAGAGTAGAAATACTCCTGTTACTTTATATTAGGGAAAATTAAATGGATATATGCACCACCAGATGGGCCACTTAACTCAAGTGCAGACTTAACCCCTTCCTTGGTGCAAATTTATACACCAGGCCCGGTTGTTCAAAGGATGAATAACTCTATCCACTGGATAAATCACTATGCATCTGATAGCGTAGTTTGTTTTGCCAAAAGTTATCCACTTGAAAGCAATTTATCTGGTGGATAGAGACATCCAGCATTCGAGCAACTGGTGCCTGGGTGGAGAGGCAGTGTGTGAGGGTTATGTAACTGTCTTGACCAGAAAGATCACAACTTCTTCATTAGGTCATGTCTTCTCTCAAATTGTTGTTTCCATGGTTTCAGGTGATCCTGCCTCTTTCTTGACATCACTTTCTAAGGGTCTCAAAGGATACAACTGTCCTGGAGATTGGGTGGACGCACTGAAAGAAAGAGACATTGAAAAAGAGAAAGCTAACAGGTACATACATGAATTCATGTACATTGATTTGATTCATTATAATTACTCTCCATTTCATGGTATGCCTGGCCTACCCTAGTGGAATTCTTCCTCATACCTTGTTCTAAGGAGTCTCGGACTACACTGTATCTACTGATCTGTTTTTCTGAACAGTCTCAAGTCACAGGAATCTCTCAAGCAGCATTTGAATCCACTGAAGCTGTTGTACAACCTGGAAAATGTCATGTCCAATGACAGCATCATCGTGGCTGATGGAGGAGACTTTGTAGGCACAGCAGCGTACATCTTGAGGTAAAGCCTGAATGTCAATGAATGGGCGACAGTATTCACAATGCCAGGATATTACAGTTGTGAATTGTCTAGTAATAAAAGAGTCCTTGTGCTTCCCTATAGTGGACACCCATTTAATCAGACACACTTGACTTCCTGATAATCCAACTGCCTACTCCTGGATCTCTGAGGATGGTTGTACATATTAAATGTTTTCTATTACAACTTACCTAGCTCAACCCTGTTCTGTTTTCAGGCCACGTGGTCCCTTGACATGGTTGGATCCAGGTGCATTTGGTACCCTTGGGGTGGGCGGGGGCTTTGCCCTGGGGGCCAAGCTCTGTCGTCCAGAATCAGAAGTCTGGGTTATTTACGGAGATGGTTCTTTGGGTTACAGTGTAGCAGAGTTTGATACTTTTACAAGGCATAAGGTAAATCAGTAGATGATTATAACAACTTTTTCTTATCTAGAAAATGGAAAAGGTCGAGAGATTTCATGCCCAGAAATTTGTTATTAGTTTTCACAGAAAGTAGTGCAAAATCAGGTTGTGAGAATGTATTTTAAAAAAATACTCCTAACAAAACAGGTCATGAAAAATAATTAACTTTTAAAATAACGATGCTCACATAATGTCCCAGACCTCTGGTCAACATGTGCTAGTCAAAGCCAGTAGTAATTTTTTTGTAATTTTTCTGTCTGGGTATGTATTTCTATTTCATCCTCTTGCTAATTTTAAATATTGGTGTGTTGTTTGTTTTTCAGACTCCAGTTATTGCCCTGGTGGGTAATGATGCCTGCTGGTCTCAGATTGCTCGGGAGCAAGTGCCGATGTTTGGTTCAAGTATAGGATGTGACTTAGAGGTAAGACACAACTTAGTCCACCAAGCCAAGGCAGGGATCGTTATAAAACCCATGCATCAAGGTCAGAAAGAAAGCAAGGAAACAATCAAAGAAGCATGGCTTCCCAGCTCTTTCCATCTCGTATCCTTTGATGGATCATTACTACCAACACTCTTTGTCCCATATGGGTCTGTTAATACTCTCTGGCTTTTGATTTGACAAAAATGTTACATTCATAAGCAGGCTGAACCATATTCTATTCACTCCCTGAAACAATGCTACTTTTACCTACAGCATAGTCTCTAATAGTAGGTGTAAATGCTCGTGTTTCCTCCTGGAAACAAACATGAATTACCACTCAGACAAGTACATGTAATTGCCCCCTTTTATAGCAAAATGTATCACTCAGCTACTCAGCAATAATTGCTGAGTAGCTGAGTGTAGCTGAGTGTTTGTTTATAGCCATGCAATGTACTTGTGTCTTCTTGTGTAACTTCTTCTCACAGTTCACAGATTATCACATAGTCGCTGACGGTTATGGAGGTAAAGGCATACTGCTCAGTGATCCATCCACCAGTGAAATTGACACGACGCTAACTCAAGCTCAAGACATAGCAAGGGATGGCACTGCCGTTCTGATTAATGCACTGATTGGAAAAACTGACTTTAGACAGGGTTCAATTTCAGTGTAATCTTCAATTACACACTATTGTCTGGTTAGGGTATTTTCATGTCAAATTAATATTTAGAATCTGTTCAATTCTCTTAATTGGAAAAATAATTAGGTGGTCACCATCATCAAACATTTTGTATAACAATTTATATTGACAGCTTAACAGGTGTAGCATATTTCAGTTTAATGTAAGATTTGGTTAATGTTGTATTTTCCATCTTTTTTCAACTGTGAGCAATAGTCTGTATGCACTTGTCTATTATGCTGTTTTTTTTTTAATGAGCATGATTCTCCATGGATCACAAAAATTTTTGATCCATGCTCAAAATCTTGCAGATCATCCTTTAATTTGCAAGGAGTCACTAAGTCTCATTTTTGTGCATTTCTTCTGTGTCACAGTCTAAGATTGTTTATAAATCGCAGTCTTGGATTTTTAAATAAAGATCTCGGACTCTTGGCAAGTCTGGGATTTTACCATAGTTTCAATCATTTTTAATAATTATTAGTCCTTTACTGATCATTACTGGATTGAAACACTTGACATTTAAATAATACTTTATAAATAAGACTTTACTTCCTTCAGGGTGTGTCTTCATGGCAATAGGCTATTTCTTAAGTTGCCTGTTGTCTCCAAGGCAAAACAAGTCTTTGCAAAACCATTCATAGTGATAGCAGGTTCATTGCATATTTCCAGAGAACTCAAATTTCTATTAAAAATAATGCTTGTACCATTTGTAATGTTTGGGAATTGGATGAAATACTGCTTCTTGTGTTTGATGTATTACAAGTTAGAAGTATATTGTTACTGGTAGTTAGAGTTCAACAATTGGGTGGGATATTATTGATATTAGAAATGTATTCTAAGTGTTAGAAATGTATGCTAAGCAAAATATTAGTGGCACACGGTAATTTGAAAATGTATAAGAATCACTATTTAATAAATAGTTCATAAATTATGATCATAAAAAAGCAATGCATTTTGTGTAATGAGGTGCATTATTTGTCTGCTGGAGGTAAAAGACAAATAAAACAAATTGACAAATATGCAGTCTGAGTTTTTCTACCAATGAGTCTGAAAAGTCTGGGATGATAAACTGACTTTGTATTACAGTTCTTAGAAACGTAATTATATGAAATCATTTTATAGCTCTCCAGAGCAGACAGAAAGCTACTAACCAATGCACTGATTGTACTGGTCACACTGTGTAAATAATTATCATCCAGAGATTTTGTGCAATGAATAGTAGTAGAATTTTCATTGTTATGCTGCAGCTCTATGGCACACACGAAGATACTAAGATATGGGCGAAAATAATTTCCATGCATGCGAAGAAGTGCAGCAGGATAGAGGTCGTTGAGGGGAGGTGGGTGGGGCAAAAAGGGAACTCTGAACAGACCTGTTGGGGCATGAACACATAACAGAACGATCTGAAGTGTGGAGGGCATATAAATACTCTGCTCAATACCCATGGGTATTATGAGGGTCTCTTGAGGAAAAGAATGCTAATTAATGTAGCACACATGGCCATTTCGGTACAATCATATCTGTTCAATGAAAATAGCTCTTATTAACTGAGCAGGAGGTCTGTATGGGAGAATCTTGACAGAGGTCACAAGTGCAGACCGAATGTAGTGAGGTCTGTACACACAACCAAGGTCAAGATATTTAATAAGATGTTTATTACATGGCGCAAACAAGAACAATTTCATTCATTTAATAATGTAACTGGTTTGTACTGACATTTTGCTTGCGAACAGTGATGAGCTGAACTTAATTCTTCCAAAGTTTGCTTGTCCTCTTTACTTTTTTTCAGGCTTTTGGCACTTCAATAAATAAATATTGTTAGATGAAAATAGTCAATGATTTTGCATTCTAGTTTGCACCTTTTTCTCTGCAAAACATGACCGGTCTAGATGGGAAAATCTAGACTGCTTTCAATATCGATTTTAGTCTATCAAATTCATGAATTTGGTAGTTCCCAGTCCTTGTGAGACAGAGCCATATAATAATTTATAATAATGCACAACACATGTTACTGTGTGCTGTGGTCACCTCATGAATGCAAACAATTCATGCTGGTCTGAGTTGTTTTAATCTAACTCAAACTATTCCCAAGTACATATATCACAGTTGTCTCACATTAACATGTCTGTACCAAAGTGAGTATGAACTGGTCTCACAGATACAGAGTTCACTATGAACTAAAAAAAAAAACTCAAATAAATAGTTATAACGTAACATGTAAGTAAGCCAACATTGCTCAAAGTTTTGGCTTTGGATTGCTGCATGTGCTTCGTCAAACATCCCAAATGTCATTTTAAATTTCCGTTGTCGATATGCTGCCATGAGCTAACTGCTTTCTGGATGCCGGGTTAGTAATGATTTTCACCAAACTTCTCATTGGTAGCTTTTTTAGATGGTCCTTATCAATCATGTGGTTTCTTTAATCTCTGCAAGACCTTGATCCTGCTATCTTTTCTTGGTGGATGTAATCTTGTGCAGATCAGCTTTGGACAGGCGCTGTACACCAGCTTTGTACCTTCCAACAGAAGCTTGAAGGCCCTTTGATGAATTGTCCACCCACCGACCTATTGAAGCCCTGTTAGTAACAGACAAATGTGAACTGTAGTTGCATTTAATCTTTCTTGCCAGGCATCATTCACCCTGGAAGAACAAAATGGTAGAAACATGGCAACAGCACAAACCTTGTTGAAGCACTTTGCTTTTTATCTGTTTTCTTCTTGAAAATGCCCATAGCATGTTCCTATAATATATCAGGAAAAACTCATTTAATCACTTAAAATATAACAAAATGTATTTTAATTAGCAGTAAGTGGTTGATTTATTTCTTAATAATTTCAATTAATAAACTAATTACCGACAATCAATTTAACATTGGACATTTTCAATTCAGTCGAATGTATGTTAAGCATAATTATTAAGCCATTGTGGGATAGCAAAGTATCTGCTCTTTATAATTTAATGTTGGTTTGCCTGTGATGTCATGTGCACCATCAATGTTGGTTGGCATCAGTTGACTAAAGGGTTCTAATCAGTATTATTAGTTTCTCTTGTTTATTACTGCAGCATACATGTACATGCATAACTTACTGTCTCTGTTCTACTAGTAAGAGCAGTTTTCAATTGAGTGTCAAAAGTAATCAGGCATTTATTTTGGTTTTGGTTTGACTATGGTTTGAGATTGGCTGAGTTGTCAACTGGCAGGTTTTACAACATGTTAACACCACTCTATCAGGTTAGAGTAATGAAATGCAATACACTTACTCTTTCCCTTTGTTCTTTCTCTTTCTCCTTCCTCCTTTTTATTTGACGCATCAACATTGGGTAGGGCATTTTTTGGCCTTTTGGAGCCTAACAATTTTCATTGCATGCAGTCAATTTAATTACATTCAAGTATTTATAATCATAATATAAAAAAGGAAAACTTTGAATATAATAAGTTGTTCTAGAAAATACCCTAACAGTGATACCCCCATTTGGGTTTGAACTCACTCCCCACCCATCCCTCTAGAAATTCAAATTTTGGTCATGGTAAAGGTAGGTAAAGTCTGCATACTAGCCAAGTGACCCATCAGGCTGGCACTCATCTCCGGTTTCAGTAGCATGAAGCAACTAGGGGCATTTCTACTCCCCCCTGATGGGTTGCTAGTTCATTGCAGGGTTACCCCCAAGCATTAAATTCACAGGTACCCATTTATAGCGGAGCACCAGCAGCCTGAAAGGCTGCCAAGCAGAACATCATAACTATAGGAAGACCACATGTATGCATAGAAATAGAAACCTTCATGGTCAACATGGCTAGCAGCATGGACTGCCGTGATGTGCGCCCTACAACAAAAAATGATGACATCCTACAACATGGTGAGGTTGCACTACGAGGGTTAAATTATTGTAATCAGGAGCTCTGCTTGTAGGCCTGGCTAAATTTATGTATTAACACCTGGATGGAGAGAGGCATTATGAGAGTTAAGTGTCTTGCCCAAGAACACAGTACAATGTCCCCAGACAGGGCTCAAACCTGAATTCCTCGATCCAGAGGTGAGCACACTAATCATGAGGCCACCATATATGTCTCCACTGATTTGGTTCAAACTTCTGTTAAAAAGTTTGACTTTTGAGATCCCTCCTCCCCTTAGAATTTTCAGTAACCCTCCTTGGGGTGGGCATGGATATTTTCAGGAACTTCACATTATCATGTTATTATCATGATTATGATAATCTTGATTAATTCAAAATTAATGCATTTTTGAGAGTTGAAGAATCAACTCTTTAATCATTGTGCAATAATATGCTACCATCACCAACCCTGAATGGGAAAACTATGAGATGGTATTTGATCGATGTTATATATCAGAAATCTGGGGCATTCATTACATGTAAAACTTACTTTTCCCCCAAGTGACTGAGCTTTCCAGTCTTCATATTTTTTCTTTTCTTTTCTACTGAGTCCAGTGATTCCTGCAACAAATATGAGAGCAGACTGTGATTTCCACTTTGGAATACTCAAGCCAGGGGTATGACAATCAGTTAGTGCTCACAAATTTATGGATCAATGTTGTTGATGAACTGAGCAAAAGTTGCTAAGAACAATTTATGAAGACATGATTGATCACCTCAACTCAAGCAGTTGCGAAATTGAAGCCTGAAACAAATTCAGGCTTGAACAAGATTTAAACCCATGACCTCTAAGATACCGGTGCAGTGCTCTACCAACTGAGCTATCAAGCCAACTGGGAGCTGGTCACACTGGGAGTTTGTAATATACCCATAGAGAACGATATGATTATAAGTGTTACTTACATCTGTACAAACTGTAGTTTTAAGACTACTGAACAGTACATTGCCTGCCTGTCACAAACAATTTTCAGCAACTGGTATTTTTCCCCCTTCTTAACAATGATATAATTACAAAAGAATTATCATGATTATTTATACTGTAGCTTTGAAGTAATGTTATAAACTTAATATCAAATTATTCAATGTCAGTAAGTTAAGATATCAACCCTACAAACGTTTTCTGCACACTGATCAGCTGAAGTTAGCTACAAAACAACATGTCACTCAAATGAGTAAGTTATAAATGAACACTAATTAAAAGAAGTCATGTTTAACTTAGTTAAATGTTGAGAGAAAAAGACTTCTCACCAAATTCCTTAACTTCCCTTGCTATGGACTGAAATTCAAACTCATCAAGGTCTTGCCTGGGTTTAGAAAAAGGATACAATGAGTTTAAATTCTAAGACTTCTTACATGCACATATCACAGACAAATGTTTTTAAGGAACTGTGTAATGTAGAGAAGTTTCATGATCTACCTTGAAGATTTGTTTTTTTCATTTATCCATTTTCTTTTAACCTAATAAAAACATCAAGAGTTTTGTTAAGGTCATGATTCAAAAGTAAAAATTCACAGGTTGAATGTATGTTACTGTAGTTAAAACATGCACAACAGGAAGAGGCAGCGTGGCTGAGTGGTTAGGGTGCTGGACTCTCTGACCACTAAGCTGGAGTTGTTTCTCAGTTGACCCTTGTTCAACTCCTTAGTCATACGTATAAATAGCTGACTGGTCTGCCTCCCACCAGTTGGGATTTTTAAGCCTATTATGTTTATTTGAAATATTTCTCTTTTTCAGTTTAAGTGGCATGCCTGTGAACTAGCTAGGTGCAGCCAAGCACATTGACCACTAAATAAAAACATTTGAACATTTTGGTCTTGGGCCAATACAATACGTAAAGTGTTATCTCTTGTTACAATACCAAAAAAATGCAAATTAAATTTATTTTCAAGTGGAAAATTGATGGCCTCTCAAAAACAATAACTAAACAGATTAGTAGGGCTTAACCTAGTTTCCTTGCGTTGTGCAATCCCTCCCAAGTAAAAAGATATTTACCCAAGAAAACTGAACCTAGAAGTTGATTACCATCAATAATCCATGCCAGCAGCCAAGAACCAAAACTAAATCATTATCATACTTACTAATATTACTATAAATCGCATATTTTGTTAAATGTTTTAATACAACGTATTCTGATTTTCACATAATGAAGTCAGCACGCACCGGTGGCCATACAGCTTTCCTTCCTCTTCTCTGTTGGCCTGGTTCAACAAACTCTATTACTTTAGGTGGAGGACGACTGGCCATCTTTCCTCTCAAAGAACCTACATGTACAACAACAACAAAAAAGAACTCCAAATATGCTTCATTTTAGCACCTGAATTCACTAACGGACCATGATGTTTTTTTTGTTTGTTTGTTTTTGTACGTTTTTGTTTTGCATTCCAGAGTTGCCACAAAGTTATGAAGGAGGCAGCTTTTTCGTTAGAATATGCGACTGATTTTCCCATCTCTTTTGAAAGAATTAGACGAGTATCCATCAAATTTGACATCTCAGCTTTTCCCCTAAAATTGTGATCTTTGCTTTTGTTAGCTACTAAATATCAAGTGGAAAACACTAGCATTAGTCAGCATTGTAGCTTGCTAGCCAGCGGCTGCGACTGTCTCACACTCACAAACCGAACTACAACAAACCTCCTTCCTTGCTATTGAAAACACCAAAAGAAATTACATCGAATCGAATACATATCGAGACCACTGGCAGTTAAAACAAGTACTATATCGTATATATGTTCTGCAGCCATATTTACCTTCAGAACCCTAACTAGAAAAGAACACATGTTGGCAGCCATATTGGGTAGAAATGTTGCGGGAGTCTGGTGCGTAGTTTTTACGATCAGTGCCCATTCTCCAACCGGTTGAGTGGAGTTTGTAAGCAAATTGTAAAAAGGCGACAATTTTTTTTTTTTTTTTTTTTTTTTTTTTCAGGAGTGTGCGTTGTTAGGCTATTGTATGTTTTCAGTTCTTCTTCAGCGGCCGTTCTGCGTTGAAAATGCCTCCGCCAAGGGAAATTTGCAGTTTTGAAACATCTGTAAAAGTAGATTACAATTTATTAAACCTCTGGCATCAGCGAAACTAAGCATTTTAGTTTCAGTTTGTGTCGTATATTGCTGCGCAGAAAAAGAAATAACAGCGAATTGCTTACATCATTTATTATTTACTTTTAAGTTAATAACTTTTGCCGATCTTTTAATCTACTAGGTGTACTATGGCACACTGTTAATGGACTTAATGTGCTATTACTTTCTGATTGCTAATACAGACCAGTCCATTAAGTTTCTTTGTTATTCATATAGCACCGGGATTAAAACCTCGATTTTTGCAATACCACTGCCATTCTTATGTTTATTAAGTCAGTGTCAAAAAGTTTATACTGAATTAGCATCTGTGTTTGAGCAAAGATCGAAGAATGACGACAGGAAATTGTTACCATTCGGAACAAATAACTGATATGTTCAATTCGTTATTCATCCGTTCCAGCTTTTAAAAGAACTTAAGAGTTAATTTTGTCAGAATTTTCGATTTCTAATTTCTAAATTTAAAACAGGATGTGAGATAACAACAACAAAAAATCAATTGCCCGCGTGAAAACAAAAATAATGGTCATTTCACATGAGACGCTCTGACTACACTCCTCCTCAATACTCCAGCTGAGGAAATGGGCTCAAAAAGTAGTCTTCTCTTTTTTCTTCTGTTTACGTACAACTCCATTGGTAAGCAAGATTTTTGCTCCGATTCCACTGAATCTTTTGGAACTCCATTTCAAAACCGCGCTTTGGTCGGTTACATAATCAAGTCGTTGGTAACTCGGGGAATTCTTTCCTGTAATCACAAATGTTTATCTCTCTCCTCGTGTTCGTCTTACAACTATCAAGCGTCAGCCACACAAGGTGGCGTTTGTGAGTTAAATGGTGGAAAGAGAAATATTCACCAAAACCTGGTGAAAAGACATGGATTTGTTTTTGTTCTCGTGCGACGGAAAGTCAAGGTAACTGGTATTTTATATTTTAAAACTATGGCATCAGTTCCTCTAATTCTTCTCCATAAACCTGCAAAACTGAAAAAGGACCTCCACCGAATGATCTTCCTCCAATACGGACCTCAAGCTAGTTCAATAATATATACATATATCGAAATCGCAAAAAGCATCTGCAGAAATTGACATGAACCCATAATTAATTTATTCATTGATACGAGACTGTCATCCTTTGGCACTATATCATTCATAAAAGCTGCCGTCTAAGCAGAGACTAGAAAACAGTTTATAGGCACAATTTGCAGTTTGGTACGTGTTTAATTACAAGGACAGTTCATTCAGTTTAAGATCACCTTCAGTAAACTTTGCCACGATCTTAACGTAACTTGAAATTAATAGACACCAAACTTGTCCCTCACGAGCAGTTCCAGTTCACCTAACATTAATTTCCTAATTTTGTTCACTCTGTTTTGTTTAGATCACCCAAGCTGGAATCTGCCGAGAAGTCTTGCAACTGGGAACGAATCAAGCAACACAATGGTTCCCAACTGGGAATATTATGGACTATGTCCTGGACGCATTAAAAAGCTTTTAGACATGCTGAGCGGGACGATAGAGAATACGCAGTTACGTGGCTCCAACAGCAGAGTTTAATTCAATAACATAACCAGAATGTGTCCGACCACCGGCGTCGTAACCGAAGAACAATTTAAAAAACACCTGTATTTATGCTAGACTCTAAACAAATGATCTAACATTTTGTTTAGAAATCCTTAACCCCTACTGGCTGCCAATGAGCTCATTGTTGTTCTAGGCCATTTCATCAAAGGCAAGTCAGTTATTCTGCTCGTAAATATTTACTACTTACAACTTCAAGCCAGTTCTCACCACTGTAGTACAAGGTGATGCACAATAATACAGATAGACATGTGGTTACCATGACTATTGGACTTTAACTTAGCTGCCAACTGTTGGCTTTCTTATGGTTACGAATATCGGCAAATTCTCCCCTAACGTGCTCCGTATCCTGGCACCGCTGTAGCTTAAATAAATCATTGCTCTATGCATAGTTAATAGAGAGGAATGATTATGAAGCCTGGCAAACATTAAAAACAAAGATGCCAAGATTTATAGTAGAAGGTCAAGATCGTGCACAGTCTTTTGTTTTACATTCATACACTATGCATGAACTAAGTACGCCACCAAAACGTTTTTATTGGTTAGTTCTTCATTCCAGAGTTAACTATTGTGTTTTGTGCACGGTCAAGGCCAAAATCGCGAACAAAAACATACAACAAAGAACTTTGTCGGGTTTCTTAACCATTCCCCTCTAACAACCATTTTCGTCAAAATTTTTCTCTCGAAGTGAACGAGTGTACGTTTTCTAACTCTGATTTTGCGTAGCAACAAAGTTATCTGAACGTTTTTTGACGAAAAGAACAGCATTGCGTTAAGCCCGTATGGACTGTATATAATTGGATATCACGGGCAGGAGTGTGTCAACACACATAAAAGAAAAAACTATAAAAAGATCTGTCAAGAAGAAGACTGTGAAAAGATCTGAATGATCTGGAAAACGAAGTTTCAGTTTTGCGTCAGTTCTCCGTTTGAGATAAACACTTATAATTATATCTGGCCGTGTGAAAACAAGTAGATTTGTTTCTTCATGAACCATACCCGAAGGGTAAGTTCTTGTTAAGTTATGCGTATCTGGGAGTCAAGCTGTTAAAGACAAAGCAAACTTAAATTAAAGCTTCGTGCATTTCTAAAGATTTCAATAAATAAATTCTTATCGTTTTTGGCTTTTAGAGCCAGCCGAAGCAGAATAGTTTAGTCGCAACCAAGACAATAGAGTGTTTCTTTTCAGTTGGCGGGGGGGGGGGNGGGTGGATCAAATCCTCTTTTAGAATGACTTGCGCAGTGGGAAACAAAATTCACGGTCTTGGGACCAGCTAAAATAAGTGCTTCAATATTCCGGAATTGAATGTGGTGTTTCTGTTTCTGCGTTATGTGCTAAATTGATACAGCGTATCGCTTGCAGTTTCTGAAGGGGAATAAAGTTTGTCAATAGTATATCGCCACTTTGACATTTCGAGTTGAGCGTTTCAGGCATGGAACAGTTAAAAAAAAACTCTGCCTTTCTATCCATATGCCCCACAACGATAGGAAATTATTACATGAAACCGAAAACAAGGCTTAATTTTAGACAAATAATACTCCATATAAATTACCTTCAGTTTCAAATTAAATGCTCTTGCTTTTTGAAAGGGCAATTCATTATTTACTTGAGCTTTACACCCCAATGAGTTATGGATCTTTCTAGTAGACTCTGTTATATTTTCTTCACACGCTGTTGTTTATTTTGCAAGACAGAGGAAACTTCACATTATTGTCTTCTGCAATAAACAGATACTGTTCAAATGTTACAAACTTTGCGCCCTTTGTAATGGCGCGTCATTCAGGACAGCCAATGATACTAGTTAATGAAAATTCTCTTCGCGTTAGTTACAAAACACTAGTTATGATTCGCCTTCTCTAAATTGCTCACTGTAAAGCTTATTTCGAAACTCGTGACGTAAAGAAGCTTTGTTTTATTTATCGAGATCAGTGTCAAGCGCAAATAAGATTGTTTATCCCAGTCAGGGTGTTTTTATTGTAATAAAGTGTAGTCTATCCCATTTCCGTTATTGTAAAACAAAACGAATTCATTTTTTTGACATCTGCCTCGTTTGTTTTGTTTCCACTAAAGAGATCGGTTTTCGTTGGGAGATGGCTCTAATATGAAGATCGAAGTGCTTTTTTTACTTCTTGTCACTGGTGCTTGCTTCTGCGACAAGGATTTCTGCCGAGAAACCACAAGCTCGATTTGGTACGATCACGCTTTGATCGGCCATGTAATCAAGTCATTATTAACCCGTGGAATTTTCGCCTGTGCTCACAAGTGTTTGTCCCTCACCGGGTGTTCATCTTACAACTACGAAACTTCAGCGCCACAAGATTACAGCGTTTGTGAGTTAAATGGTGGAGGCGAAAGTGATTATCCAGCCATCACTGGAAAACATGGCTTTGCCTTCGCTCAAGTGCGAAAAACAACAAAAGTAAGGATAATGGTAATTAACATAACTTTCGAATGAAAGATCATTTTGGATTAACTATTTTCACTCGGCGGTTTCAAAAATCAAATATACACTGCAAGACTTTTATAATCGTGTACATTATTTGCAATCGCATGATGAATGTTTAAGCCATCGCTTCAGTTTTGCCGGGTTGACTGTGACAAATTTACGTCAGTGACTATCAAAAATCGTTCATGTCTTTATATCTTTATAAATGATAAATGTGCTGTCGAGTTTTTAGACATCGTACAGTCAGAAACACATTTTCTAACCGTCACTATTAATGTTATGGTTATTTTTTTTTAATACAAAAAACGAAACGACGAGAAAACGCCGACCTTTTAAGCTAATCTTGTCAGTTGTTTTAAGAGCTTTTACACCGCCGTGGTTTATTCATTTTCAACTGTCTATTCCTCGATATTGTATTACAAACAATTACGTTAACTATTTTAGCAGATTGGAGAAGAAAATGCCTCTATATTTTCTAGGTTCTATTAGACAATTGATTTTAAAGCTGAAGACAAGTTCAAATAATGCATGGCTGTGACAGATTTAAGACGGCAAAGAAAAAGGTACAACACTTTTGTCAAGGTCACCGTCGACAGCTCTTTGTATAAACGCCAGTTTCGTGCAAGGCAACATGTACGTGTTACCATTTTCATGTGCCATCTGTTTGAATCCAAAACAGTTTTTGGCCGTACGAAGATTGCAAAGCCATTTTTGAGACCAGCGTCTTTGCCATAGCCTGCGAGAGCATCCGGTTTTTTCGGCTTTCGTTTCACGAGTCGAGAACAAACTTTAATCTCCTAGTAATGTCTTTTTTTTCTCGGCGCGTTGAGGGTGGTCCTTTTTAACTGCGGATTTAGAGCTGTTGCTAAGGGATTGCTGAAGGCGATATTTAGAGAAAAGCTATTCTGGAGTGTTTTGCAGTGCCAAATGGTGAATTTTATATGAGGGAACATTTGCTTTTAAAAAAATAATGATTTCGCGTGCGTAACTAGTGCCAGTCCCAAGCCGCGCCGTTACAACCTTAAACCCCTAAAACTTGAAAGAAAAGAGGAAGAGTTCCGATTTTTCTTATGAGCCAGAAACAACTTAGCCTTCTTTAAAACCGTACGTATGGAGTTACCGTTTACATGTAAAAGAGGAAAGCTACTGTAGAGAGTCTGTTAATACGGGGTTTATTACCTCATAACTTGTTTCATAAAACCCATACGTAGCATTAAGCACCTGGACGTTCTTAATCTATTGACACTGATTTAAATTTTCGGATTTAAATGGCTGTTAAGTTTTAGGGTTTTTTTCTATTCTGGTCACGTGGCTGATCAAATATGGCCGTGATTTGAAACGTTCGCAGGAGTCTTCAATGGAACTAACCTGTGCAAATGGCTTATAGACCTTATGAGGTCTGGTTTTTAAAATATGACGGTTGGAAACCTTCCTTAGCAACGAATTCGTGATCAATTGGTAGCTAAGAACGACCCCCCTTAAACAAGAACCGAAATTACTAGATATTCTCGCAGCCTAACTCAGTTCGCCCTTGACTTGGGAAATTCTAGAAAGCGATCTCAATGATTAAAATTGTATTGTTTCGTTTGAATTTTAATGCACTTCCTTCTACACGTAACGTACTCAAACACAAGTTTTCTTTCTATTGCAGAGTTGTTTAGAGGCTTGGGAAAATGGTGCGCGGGCATCGGGTTTCTATTGTATCCAAGCCAACGATGGTCATTTCCACAAACTGTACTGCGACCTGGCCTCCGAACCCGGTTGGGCCTGGACATTGGTGATGTCCCAGACATTGGGCAACAGAAACGAACAATTTGCACAAAAAGGCTTTCTTACGGACTCGCCGAGGAATGCAGAGTTTCCAAACTGGGAAGCTTATAGACTCTCTCTAAGCAGAATGGTGGAACTGAAGTCTAACTCAACCCATTGGCGAGTGACTTGCAGTTTTCCATCATTCGGTGTCGACTACAGAGACTACGTACGTGCTGAATTTGAGCAGTTTGATCTTCTCACCTTCAGGGCAAACAGGCATTGCAAACTGGTGGAGTACATGGATGTTCGGGGACATGTCTGCCAACAATGCACCGCGGCCTGGGGGCAGGATAAAAGTGACTTTTTAACCCATCGCAGTGATGTTAATCACAGCTGTACCCGCGGGCAAACTCCGAATCACGTTAAAGGAGAGCAAGCGTTCGGTCGGTACAGGAAGGGGCGAAATCCCAAGTTCCGATGCACGTCGGGGGATTCCGCTGTGACTAGTTATTGGTTTGGTAGCAGATTAAAGTCCTAGCTACGTCATGTCCACAGTTATGCAGCAGTTTCGGTAGAAAACTGGTTATTATTCGGTTGGATTCCGAGTCGTGAGATCCCTGTTCAAGTCCCAGCACAGTCACTTTAATTACTCTCCTAGTGCCTCTTTTGACTAAGTTCATAAAGATATTCAGTTTTTGGTGATTTTTGTAAACGTAATGCGAGAACAGAAGCATACTTTGAAGTGCTGTCTTCTCAAGTCATTATCTGACTACTAGGAAGGTATTATTTGTCGTACGGGACAAAGTTATTGGCGGAGCGATAAATCAGAATTTTGATGAGGAGTTAGGCTTCGTCCAGTCGGTATACCAGAGAAATCTGAAAACGCCGCTTTATTCCTACGGTTAGGCCTATTGTCCACACTAAGACTCTGTGTCCTCAGCTTCTCGAAAACGCTCTTCAAAGCGGAGGAATTTGAAAACGCCAGCTTTGCGTTTTAGCGTTGACGGAAAACGTTTTGAAAAGGAAGCTTTTCGAAAACGATGATGTCACGAAAATCCTGTGAAAATGCTGTGTAGACTAGTAGACAGAAAAAATTTGATGCGCTTCCAGAGCGAAAACGCGGTTTTCAAATTCCTTCGGCGTCAGTGGTGTGGACGGGGCGTTTATCAGTACGCTCGGCCCGTGAAGTTTCTCAGGCCTCCATTTCCATATCTTTGGAACTTGAACGGTATTTAAACATTTTCACCTTGAGCGTCACATGAACAGACTCATCCCTCCCTGGGCTGATATCAAGACTTAAGTGTTTCCGTTCCCATACAGATCACGCATGTATCGGGCGTCGTTTACACAGGAGTCGAGTCCCCGATCAAGGCTCTTGCCGTACCTGTAAGCTCCGTAAAGCCACACAGTAGGATAATAGGACGTCATTTTTTATTAGCTCCCCTGGTTTGCCAAGAAGGCAGACATTGACATATGTGCGTCAGGGTATCTGACATGCCTGGTTAGCCACTTGAAATAAGTTATCATTATATGTGATCATGAAATTATAAGCCGGAATTTGAATAAATTTGTCTTAACTAAAGCGGAACCTTCGAATATCGTCAATATCTCGCTCTCGCCGACGGCAGAAGGTAACGTTTAGCATGTTTAAAACAAACAAACAGTCATACTATAGCGAGCTTTCTACACTCTTATTATATCACTGAACGAAATTAATTTGATGTTCCAAGAAGACAATTACACGGCTTTAAATTCATAAACAGACAACAACATCAAGGTTCAATTAAAATCTGGCACGAACACATATATATTTTTTTAGAATTTCAATTTATCCGATATTTGCTGTTTTATGGCACGATCAGACCATGAGAGAAAAACTTCGTTGGAATCAGTTCACCAGTGTTGTAGTTTTGTTTGATTCACTACCAGGGCAACCATGCAGCGATTGCAGAACAATTAAACCCCGGGGTAGGGTGGGATACTCCCAAAAAAGTTAGGTGGGGGTGTGCAGCCCAATTCCCAAAACTCCTACCCTATTTATGACCAAATCTGCGATTTTTGCTACCCTATTTATCCTCCTTTTCATAGAACTGAGCTCTTAAAGAGACATTTGAAACCTTCGGGCAGCTAAACGGGAAGATAATTAAAAGAACCTAATATGATGGTGCGTGGGGCAAAAATATCAAGCTTCTGATATCGAGAATACATGGATGGTTTTCTTTTTTCGCAAAACATAGAAAAAACGTTCGAGAGAGTGAACCTTTAAAAGACAAATGGGGGCACAGAACGTCCAAGATCGTTAAGTAGGAGTGATCTTCTCAGATGTGGGGTGTAAACTATGACTTCATAGTAAACTGCGTGCGCCACAATTAGCGCGAAGATCTTTCACGTGCGCGAGGTGTGATGCAACACGAAAGAAGGTTCAGAGGATCGATCGTCCAGAGATGAAGGCGAAGTATTTCATCTCGCGTCTTGTCTCATGACCTATGCGTGACGGCCCCGTGATCATGACGGTCAAGAAGGACAGGTCCGTGGCCATGACGCGTGCTTGACCGTCACGTATTTAACCAACTTATTCACCAATAAAGCAGAATATCTACCTCACACCACCAGTTTAAATACAAATAAAAAATAATAAATAAATGAAATCTAGAAAGTTATTAAGTAAAGTATAAGATAAATAAATGAAGATAAAAATTTTACAAGAAACAATCCAAATACAACTCTTGTTTTTTCAAACCTCCCGCTAACTCGAACCCATTAGACGTTGATTCCCGTAGCCTCGCTGTAATTTAATCCCCGGTTTTTCAAAGTAATTTTATTTTCTCGATTCCAGCGTAAATTAACACCACTCGCCACGTTCAATAAAAACCCCCCTATTCTCGATATTCACTATGTTACAAGGAAGCTTATTCCATTGTCTAATTGTATACAGTACTATAGAGGGCCCGGGTGGGGGTGGGGTGAGTGAGTGATAGACCCATTTGTTGCCGAGGGTTTGAAATCCTGTCCCTGTTTAGGACCTAAATACTCAAAAATCTCTACCCCATGTAGTACTACGCTCTCTATTTTTTTAGACCCTGTTTAGGACAAGTGATGAAGATGCAAACCGGGGCATAGTGGTCTTTCGTAATATATAGCAAAATGAAAGACAGCTCTAATGAGACAAACATGACGTAATTAAGAAAACAAGGAATATGGGTGTGAACAAGACAAAAAAACATGTTACCTTGCAAACTGTTTCTTTTTCTCAATGGCATGCAAAACATAGAGGATTATTACATGGCCGATTGAGATACCAAATTTATCCTCAAGTATTGAAAAATATTTCATGTGTGAGCACAGTGAAGGAGTGAAATATTTTTCAACACAAGGGAAATTTCATATCTCCATGCGACCACATAATTTTCTAGTTATTATACAAACACCTATGAAATGCCAAACCTGTTCACTTTAATAAGGTGTGATTTATTATGTAACCATAGCAATGGTGATCTTTTCGTGTGTGAAGACAAGATTTTATTTTGCATAAAAGTTCACCTGAGAACCTCAAGGGCCACCATGTTCACACTTTGGCTGACAATTAACAGCCCAAAATGCGTCCACCTCACTCATCACTAATCAATTTTTTTCCAATTCGTGTCTAGCAGGGCTTAGAAGTCTATGAGTAGTCGGTTTTTGTTCCTGAAATCCCTATGTGAATTAGGGAAACAAACGTTGCTTGCTCGCATGCTCTAGAAACCTAACTTCTCACAGACCAGGAAAAGAAAGAGACTGCTTGCAGTCTACGCAGGTCTGCAACCTGGCTACATCCATGGTTAAATTCTCTACCTAGGTATTTAGAAGCGTCCAACTTTTGCCCTTCAAAAAAGAAAATCAACAAAAACAAACAAAAAACAGACTGAGGCAAGTGCCCCAGTTTGCCTCATACTGGCTACAGCCATCTAGTTGTTCTTATCCAGTATTTTGGTTTCACATTTCAAATTTTAACATTTAGTTTACTAACCAGGGTGCTAATGATTGGGCCCACAATATGCCCCTTGCAGGTGAGAATTAAAATGAAAGAGCTGATTCTTTTATAACAGAACTCATTTATACAGGCATTTGAAATTACCGTAACTTAACAAAGCCATGATTGCAATTCTCAGTTACTCCATCTTTTGCTGGTACATGCCTTTATGATTTAATCATCACCCATCGTTTGAGGATCAATAAAAATATGGTAATTGAGGGCCAGGGAAAATTATTGTGTTGACATTAGAGGTTGATGTCCCAGCTCAAGTGGATGGATGTCATCTCCTTAACTCAAAAATAATAAATTATGCAGTTTACATGGTTTAAGTTTTTAAATCCTGGTTTTTCAGTGAAGATTCAGGAGGGGATGAGATCACACTGTGACAAAATTTTAAAATGCTCTGATTAAGGAAGAAAAAAAGGAGAGAAAACTAAACAAAGCAAACAGTGGAAAGAATATTTTAAATAACAATTGCTGTGCCCAAATTTGGCAGCCACAAAGATGTCTCATAAGTTTCCATAAAAAAGTTGTACACTTAAAGCTTAACGAGTGGCAACTATTGCCATTTAATGGGAGCTTACTTGTCATGCAAAACGTTCCTTGACAAAAAGGTGAGAATCACTTGGCAACATCACTCACGCATAACTAAATACAGATTTTAAGAAACTTGAGACAAAATTCAATTTAACTGAATTGAATTGAAAAACCTAAAGACGAAGCGACGCGCTTAGAAATTGTAACGTTGCATTGCAACTAAGAAATTAAAAGCATTTTATTTACAAAATGTAAGTGTTGAAAATTTGAACGATCAAGCACATGTAACTCAGCCAAATAAATGCTAAAATCGAATTAAAGGTTTTTTAAAGATGCAGTTTTTGCCGACATTAAAATTTATCTAAGACTTTGGCGAAGATCCGGGTTTACAATGTCCGTATTTCTGGCATTAGAATCTCTAAGAAAAGTTCCTAAATTTCGCGGACAGAAGCGGTAATGGAGAGTCGAAGAAGTAAACAAGGCTACCAATTATTCCTAGTTTCAGTCGCTTTAATAATAAAGAGCGCTCGATTGCTGCCAATAAAAGCGGACAATGGTTGGAAAGCCAACTTACTGCTTGTAGCCAAGTGACGTTTTGTGACTAATAACCCATTCGAGTGCCATATGTTGCAAATTTTCACCTCGCGGGAGATGCGCAAAGAATGAACAAGTTTGCCCAAGCAATTACAGGATGCACATGAACGGCGAGCCTATCGGATAGAGAAAGTATGCCAATATTATGCATCACGCCAACGGTAAATCAACTTAATAAAATCACGAACGCCTGCCAAACGGCGACCAAAATAATGCTTACATCCACAATACTGAGTACATCAGAGGCGTAGCGAAACTGAAAATAACTTGTTTGAGTTGGTCTCGGATCAGTGAACATCTGCCACGGTTCCATCCTCTATAAATATTTTGATCATAAGTCTGCAACAGTTGGCTAAAATCCGTCTACAGACTACGACCAATCAATCCATATTCATTGAGTGGAAAAAGCTATTTATTGCAAATATTTTAAAGAATGGATATGGCCTACTCTTGCTAGGACGTGGTCCTTAAATCTTTGCTATAAACAAGCTTCTCAGCTCAAAGCAGCAAGAATTTAAGATGGACGAGAACATCTGTACTGTACAATTACAGATACCGGAGAAATCACATTTCGGCAATAAACAAAGCGATGACTTCTCGAACTCACCGCAAAAATCTACACAAGGCTACACGAACATTTAATAATAAACCATCTTTTTTTTTTTTTTGAATACTGCCCTCAATCGCTTAACTCGTGCCATGCCAGATAATACAAAATTTGTGCTCATGTCAAACTAGCTCTACAAACTTCATTTCAAAAAATATCGATTTATATATATTCCAGAGACAAACTGTTTTGCTTTTCCTAGGGCGGTTTCTAAAGTCCACGCACGAAGAGATGAATACTGTCTAGTTTACATACATCACCGCATTCGATTCCACCCAGGAAACTTTTCCAATAACTCTCTCCCAAGTTACGTTGGATTCTTCGCCTTAGAAACTCACCGTCGAAAATCGCCAGATCACAGTTGCTGGAATTTCTTGTATTTATCATCCCAGCTTTCAGCTTTTTGCTGTTTGATCGTGCTCCGAAGAGGTTTGGCCGTTGGCTTGGGCAAAGGAGCGTGTTGTACCGGAGCAGGGGTTAGCGCAGGAGCCGGAGTCGGTTCTGGAACGGGTGCTGGCGGATGATCATCAGTGCCGTTGTGAGCTGGCGTAGGCGCTGGTCCGTCTTCTTCATTCTTCAGAACCTCATTAAGTTGTTTAACTTCCTCGGGTGTCGTTGCTTCGTTCGCCAAATCGGCTTCTCCATCGGCGTCGACTTCGTTCTTAACCTCCTCGGTGGTGTTTTCGCTCGCCTCGATTGTGGGCGGAGGTGTCGTTTCCACTACGTTTGACTCTTGCACTTCGGGAACCGATTCATCGACCGCAGCAACTTGTTGAGGAGCCTCGGGTACGCTCGGTGCTTGCTTGGGCTGATAAACAGTCATAAGATTACACATATCAGCAGTGATGGGTCGTCCTTCTTGTTTCAAATACGCCTCAGTGATGTGGTCGATCACAAGCATAGACACTTCTTTGTCGTTCATTTTGATCTTCTTTACAACATCGCTATGCGACATTTTCTCCACGTTCACACTATTCACCTCGACTACTTTATCACCGACTCGAAGGCCAGCTTTCTGGGCCTCGCTGCCATCGTCAACGGCGCTTATCGTTTGCCCTGCTTGAACGTTTCGTTCACCATGGAGGTTGAAACCGTAACCTCCTGGGCCACGCTTCATTACAACCAGTCGCGGAGCCGATACGGTGTCAGCGTCAAATTCTGTAGTCATCTTATGTTCTGATTTGTCAGGAATAAGTCGCAAAAGAATATGATGCTCACAGATGAATTAACTATCGCACACCGATGATAAAATTTGTTGCGTCTTCCCCTGTTACGAGTTGCTAACTCAAGCAATTCAAGTAATTTAATGCGGAGGGAATAAATTACAGCCTGCATTCCATATATGGTGTCCCCACCCAAGTCAGAACTTTCCACATCTTCCGATCGAACGCGGAGAAAATTTCACTGTTTGGACCGAGAATGATAAAAAAAACTTTCCTCTTAGGTTAATTAAAAATCTTTCAGCAAGAAATACACGAGGAAGATTCCAAATTAAAGTCGATGCTCTGTGAAATATTCCACTGCGAAATATTATCGTGAATACAAAAGATACCGCAATATAATTTTATCTATTGTTAGGATGCAAGCAAGAAAAAAAAAACACCAGAAATTATTCTTAGAAATTGATATATTTATTTATCAGTTCGAGAGCGTCCTTTGAAACCTTGGTAACAATTCATTTGTTAATGAACGGCTGACAAACGCGAAAGAGCTAGAATGGGCTCCTTTGTTATTAACCAGCGAAGAAATTCCACTTCTATGAGTCACTCATTTTGAAAACTTTTCCATTAGTTCAAGGGTGCCCAGATTTGAATATGGTGGACTGGAAGTCTTTGTAAATCAAGGTAAATATTAATTTTTCATGCACCCCACGCAAAACACCCACGCGGCGCCCACGCACGGTTTGTCGGAAGACTGGGCTCGAACATTAGAGCCCGCGAGTAGTCAGCCGTCAAAACAACAACATGGCGGAGTTTTATAGCAGCGGAAAGGAATTTGGAAGTAGTTATGATTCCCAAGCTAAAATGAGCTTCAAAGCGTTCGAAATAGCACCAGTTATTGAAAGGATAGTGACTACTTCTGCAGACAGGCCAAAAACGGTAGGTTGAGATGTTTTATTTTTCGCTCAAGCACCTAAATCTAAATTTATGCAGTACTTGTCTTCTGATTCCATGTTACGCTTATTTTTATTGCACTTATTACTTGCGATCTGGCAAGTTTTAGTGAACATCTTCGTGAAGTGTTCAAGTTAAAAAGACAGAGATTCAAAATTTTTCAAAGGTTTTGACAATAAGTATAGCTATTACAACAAAGACCTCTGCTGTAGCTATCATCTGGAAGGAACAGTTTAACCCCTGGCCTTGAGTGCCTGTCCATTGTGTACCCTGTGTGCCACACCATTTTCAGGCTGTCATCAAGTTTTTAGTCAGCTGTAACCTTATTCTCCACACCCGTAGCAAATTTGTTACTTTGTGGGTGAATATTTTCAACAACAGGCAATTTCACCTATAGCATCAAGGGAAAATCAAGCGTACTGAGCCGTAAAAAGGTGCTATGGGTTACGGCCCTTAATGAAAACCGTAATATTTCTCACTGAAAATGGGTGTCTAGTAAAACCTTTATATACCACAAGCTTGTTTACTGGGACTATGGACATGACACCGAGGTTGACATAATTTGATATCCATTTGATATCACAGCAATGGTAAAAAAGAAGTCTGTTGAAAAATCTACGAATTTCAGGTGCTGATAAAAATTGTCTCCGGTGTGCTGGGAGTTTGACTAAATCTTGAAGTGGTACTATGATCAAATTTTTCCCCCTTGATTTTTCAGGTGTATCACATAGAATTCCATAAAAGAGTAAAAATGCCGTTTACCGTTTGCGAATATCTGCATTAGTTTCGGAGATATTTAAGTTTGAAAAATGTGTAAAATATGCAAATGAGATGACTGATGACGTCATACACTCAAACCAATTTGATATCAAGTGTATAAATAGAGCTATCTTGGTCAATTTGCAGTGCAGACCATTGAAACTTGGCAGGCTAATAGTTCTACAGGAAACACACCTACTGCTGTAAAAAGTTCTGTATGCATGGCAACTCACTCTTTTCCAGTCCCCACCCTCTTGATTTCAATATGTTAGTGATTTTCAGGTCGGAAAACATTAAATGAGGTCACAAACTTGAGCTAACATATTTATATGCTTGCTGGATCAAGAATATGAGGCACCATTTGCAAATATCAAAATGGAATGCCAAAGGTGACTGGGAATACCTTTAATATTGGGGAGGTCTGGAACCCAGTATGTTGTCATGGTAACCGAACTGTGAAGCTCATATTGTGGAGCACAATAAGTAGAATCTTATTGCGAAGAATCAAACATTTCTGATACAAATTGGCTGAGATATCTTTTTTCATCATATTTGATCAAAATTTGGTTGAGTGTATGATGTGATCACTGGGCCAATTTGCATATTTTTAAAACTAGAATATCTCTGGAACGAAAAGAGATATTTGAATATAGTAAACAGCATTCTTCTTCTCACACAGGCTACTTGTTTATGTTTTAAAATGGCTGCGATAGGAAAGATGAGATTTTTGTCATAGTAGCACTTTAAAATTTTGATGTACCCAGTACGTCATATAGGCACCTGAGGGACAAAAATCTTGATGTACTGAGTATGTCATATAGGCACTCAAGGTTAATATTTAAGCTTAACACCATCTTCTTTAAGAAAACAATGTATGCTTAAGGCTTAGAAAAACAACTAGTAGACATATACATATGAGCAGAATACAAGTGTGTTCAGCGTTTCTCTAGACCTCAAAAGTGGGTGTCCAATTGTTTCGATACAAAGTCCTTACAACACAATATCAACTAATATTTCCATTAACCTTCCTCGTGGTGGGTGTGGATATTTTTTAGAACTGCATACATGTAGTGTTATAAGCCCCAGTGTTAGTTAGTTAGTTAGGCCATTACGAAGCCTCAGTTTAGGTACGATGAAATCTTGGAAAGTTGGAATTTAGCATCTACATCTAGCATCTATCCTGCTCATGCCTCATGGCACATAGGGCCTTTACATCTACGTCTTGGAAAGTTGGAATGCTTAATAATAATAGGATACTGATTTTAGGTGGAATGTATTGACTGTGCTGCACAGAATTTATACATTGGGACATCAGATTGGTGAGTGTTTCATTTCCAGTACCTAGAAGGGTTTTAATTTGAGTGTGCATGCAAGAATTGAAGATGCTAGTGGAAAACCCTCCTTATTGGATATCTGCTTTGTTATATTTTGACCAAATTGTTGAAGATGTTGTGTTCTTTTTTACTGGTAATTGTATTACAGGTTATACAGCATTACACTGAAAAAGCTCTTACATTTGTTCATTTTTGTACAGTTTTGTTCTTAATTATGTGATTGATGAAGGTGTTTCGCCACTGGGGAAGACAACATTTCAGTCAAGGCTTCAAGCTTGTAAACATCTTGGAATGGTTTGTGGATTACAATTAAGCGTCATACTTTGCTTTAAAAACTGTGGCTTTTCAACGATTTGCAATTTGATTACTTTTAATGGGGCTTAGAGACTGCAGCAATGTTTAAAGCAGACTACAGTACCTGGATATATACTTTTAAGTTATCATGACGTCTACTCATTTATACTGCTACGAAAGCCTTGCTTGACACATTCTAACTATTACTGCACAGTCGTGTAGTGGCCAGTATGTTGTATGTCAATTTAAACTACATGTGCAATTATTGCTTAAGGCATTCAATATCCAATGTTGCACTTCTGTTTCAGAAAAAGCCAGTACAGCAGGTATTGACAGCCCCAGCCATAAACAGACTTCTTGTACTTTGTGATGGTAAGCTGCAACTTGTAAAGTTTTGTAGGCTTTACCAACAGGTCTTTGATTTGTTCCTGTTGAAACTTGAGAAATGTGCTGTTGAAAGTGTTTTTCCAGTTTGACTAATTGATTAATTACGAAATTATTATTAATTAGTTTGTTTTTAATTAATTATTATTTAAATAATAATAAGAGTCAGTTATTAAATTTAATGAATCACAGTCAAACCTCTCCACAACGGCCAACTTAGGGACAGAGGAAAGTGGCCTTTGTGTAGAGGTGACCGTTATATGGGGTAGTACAGATGTAATAATGACACTTGTCATTTTTGAGGGTGCAACATTNGGGGGGGGGGGGGGATCTTAGAAAGAATCCCCTCTGTGGGGGAGGTATGGATATTTTCTGGAACTACACATTGTGGCATATATAAGTATGTAACACAATATTAATAGTGAAGTGTGCAAGGTCTAAAAATAGAATGCAAATTACATTATTGGAACCCTGCGAGAGCCAGACAACATAAGCATGTTCTGAGAGAAATAGGAGGAAAGTGAACACCAAATATTCATTTTAAAAATTGTTTTAGGAAAACTTGCTTACGTGCTTGAAAAGGCTTCAAATCTTCCACCATTCCGTTTTGTTTGTCTGGGTTTGTCTGAGTTATAATGTCACACACATGCTTCGCTATTAAAATAATTATTAATTTACTTTCAATTGAACATTTGTACTTAGCCCACCACAAGTTCTTTTGCTGACCATCTCTTGTTGTTCTATTTTTAAGGTGGTATTTTGATGTTTTCCATGTTTGGCTTAGAGGTGAGTTGGCCACTCACAATTTTTAAAACTTGTACATTATTGACATAAACAATTTTTCTGATGATATGTGGTCATGCAATTCCATGTAATTGGCATTGAATTGCATCTTCAGGATTGTTCACTGTTCACCTATTTTGAAATTGTCAGAATTTATCTATGCACTCACCCTCTCCCCAAGGAAGGATGTTAATAATCTAAATCCAAGAGGGAGTGGAGTTTTGAGGATGTTCATGCTAATTGTTTCCATGCATCCTTACTGTGCATGCAGATTCACACGCCAACAATAATAGGGCAGATGGCCATTGCTATAGCTTTTCCTGGATTAAACATTCCTGGAAGTTCAGTGACCCCTGTTTTTCTTTTGATGGATCATTTTCTCTACCGATTTTCTACATTTGGCGAAAAACTGAAGAAAATCTATTGATTAGAAGTTTGAATGTTTTGCAAAATGTACCATTGAATTGCGTTATTTTTAGGTCTTCGTTTATCTGTGCAGCGGTTTCAAATACCTCTTGAAGGGTTAAGTTTTGTGAAAACGTTGGCAACATTTGGAATTATTTAGGCAACAGACCCACTTCTACAAACTATGACTAAGATCGTTTGCCTCTGTTGACTCACCTTCGATATTTTTAACTATAAACCCCTGTAGACCATGCTGAATTATGTGCGCCAATTTTTCAAAATCAGGGTAGTTTTTCACATGTTTTATCTCTGAAACGAAGTCGGTGACCTCCATTTTTTTTTTTTGCATTTCTGACACAAGTAACTCATTATTTGACAGCAGTAAAAATTAAAAAAAATTCTCTTGACTGAAAAAGTTTCATGCAAACGTCCTTAAAAGCTAAGTTTTTATATTGACAAGGATGAGCTCAAGCTAATCTGCAATTTCCAGAGGGGCAGGGGGTCTCAAAACAAAAGAAAACCCCTCCTTGAAAGGGTAGCCAGTGAGATTTCATGAAAGGATGCATTTCCCCACAATTCACAATTAAAATTAGTTTTTAATAGAGGAAAGAATCAAATTTCTAAGCTAGAATTTTATGAAGAGTTGTCCTTAATATGTGTTATGAAAAACATTTCTAAGTCTACATATCTGTTTTGTAAGCCTTAGCCAACTTTGTTACAAAGCCCCTTTGAAGGTCCTGTTCTGCATGATTTGAATTGCTGGAGGAAATATCAAAATTTACGCTTTTTACACTGATTAATAATGATGGGTTTCTATTATCATTTGAAGCCCAACACATTATTTTGAACACTTAAGCTGACTAAAGACCTCCCTATTAGGTTGATCTTTATTCTAACTGGCAGTTTATGGGGTTTTAATATCAATGTCTTGTACATTATGTTGCAGTTTCTGGCCACAGGATTTAAGGACAGATTTAAAGGGGTATGTCTGGACAAGAAGGCTATGCCAATGATTCACAAGTCATTGGCATACTGTAGGTGCTGTGCTGTTAACAGTAACTCAAAACTGTCAGCAAATTGTGTTGAAATTAATTTGTTAATAAGTAAACATTATTGATCTCTAAAGAGCGATTTTCAATTGACTGTCAAAAGTAATTTATGAGGCAATTACTTTCGTTTTAGTTTTACTACAGTTTACGATTCGTGGCTGAGTAGTTTTATTCGTAAATAACTGGACAGGTTTGATTTTGGTTTTACTTGACTCTATTGAAAGTGGCTCTACTCTGTTTAATAGATTAGTAAAAACTTATTACTAACAGTATTCAGGGAATTCGATAAGTAGATAGATGAGTGTAACTCATTAACCTGACAGGGAGAAGGCTGAAAATGAGGATGAATTTGCTTCACATAGACTGCAAGATTTGCTGGTTAATTTGCCAGTTGTTGAAACCTCTGAATACTTGAAAGTACAGAGTTTTATTCAGTAGGTACCATATTTAAGTCTGACTAAAGAACACTTTATTTGTTGTTAAAAAATAAAGTTAAAAGTTGAAAGACTGATCATGTTGGTTGTGTTTAACTTTCCACAACCTGAAAGTTAACTTATTCCATCATGTTGTTGAGATGCAATATGGTATATATAAAATAGGAGAAAATGTTTCCTTTTTTTGTTACTACATTTCTTGACACAGAGAAGAGAGTTGAAAATGCAATGTGGAGTAGATTATTTTTGATGAATTTTGAGTCAGAGAAATTGGAGAAGATCTGGTACCCAAACTGTCTAGGTTATGACTTTCTTTGTTTCCTCTTGATGAATCATTAAATGAGTTTGAGAAGTTGATAATTTGTTAAATTGTTTTTCAGGTGACAGCCATGTGTAGAAATGATAATCCAAATATGTTTGATCCTTTTGCTGTCGAGGTTTGTCCACGAGATTGCATTTCTATTAACTGTTGAATAATAGTTAACTAGAAAGCAGTTCTTTCATTGATTTATACATTTTGAATAATTACCAATTGATGTTTATTTACTATTATTTAATAACTAACAGTTAGTTTGAATATTACTCTATTGCAAGTCAGTGACAAGCATGCGCTTGTCTTAATTTTTTTTTAAAAATAGATATGCAATTGACTGAGATTTTTAAGGGTGCTGTGATCTTCCTAATACTTAAGTTTCAAATTATAAATGCAGAATTGTAATTGTATTCATTGGTATTTACAGGTTTGCATTGCACTTTCTAAGAAGAAAGCTATTCACATTCTTTCAGTAACTGAAGACAAGATAATTCCATTAAAAGAAATCCCACTACCAGAGCCTCCAATACACATGGTTAGGATTGTCTTCTATATTTACTTTCATTTTCTTATTGAATGCATTTAATTTTTGTCCAGACCTGCGATATTGATGTGCACCGACTGAAAAATGTTTCCTTTTTGTGCCGTGTTAAAAAATGTTTTATTATCATTCTAGGCAGTTGATGGAGGGGCTGTGTGTGTGGCTCTAGCAAATCAGTATCGTTACTGCATGGTGAACATTTTGTCTGGCAAGGTACTGTAACTGCATTCAAATCAATATAGAAGAGCAATTTTCAATTGAGTGTCGTTATACCAAAGCCAAACTTATCACTTTGACCAATCACAAAGGACAGACAATCGAGTAACCCAATCAAAACTCAAAGCAAAGACATGAAGCCAATGTGAAGTATGGAAAACATTTGCGCACAAGTTGGTTCTGCTTTAATTTATGTCTGATTGGATAAAAAAGTGGCACATTCATGTTTTAAAGCCAGTTGCTTGGGATGATAAACATAAAACCAATTGAAAGCAAAACGCAAATTAATTTCAACCCTCAACATGTGAAAACCATGACCTATTATTATAAGTACAATGCATTAAACAGATGTCTAATGTTCCCTGTTCTGACATATGGTTGCTGAAAGCTCAATCTTGACTGTCTGGACCTTGATTGGTGGATCACTTTTCAATTATTTAGACTTTCCCCTTTGGTCCCATTTTTTTCAAGGATAAATTTACAAGGTGTGCTCTTTACCCACGTCTTAGTGCGTCTGCAGAGTCAAGGTTTCGCTGTACAGGAATTCTATTCCAATGTCCCAGCTCTACCATTCATCAAGTTGATTGTTTGCATAATAATGGTCCAGATACATGTACAACCAATCAGAAACTCTTACAATATTGAACTACAGAGAACTAGGTCATCAGTTTGGAACTTTTTAGATTTATTTTCAGGCATGGCTCTTGAACTTGTGGGAAAGGTGTGGTAAATCATTTCTCAACTCCATTGTACCAAAGAAATCTAAAAACCCACTGTTTATTCAACAGGTTCAAGAGTTATTTCATTACGAGGCTGAAGTAACAAAGGGATTTGTCATGGGTGTTGGAATGGTAAGTGACTTGTCAGTGATTGGTGATGAATTTCCACTCTTTCTTACATGATTATAGCATGTCTTGACTAGTACATGTTCAGTAATAAATATATGATAGAAAAAGAATGTGATCGCCTTGACAATGGTACTTACAGCTGTTTTAGAACCATTGCATTCATGAGAAATTCTCTAAAGTGTCTATAATTTCTGTCCTTGGTCTTCCAGACCATATGAAAGAATATGATCTAGAATGAACTTTTCCTTTTTACCATGCAGGAAGAATTTCTTTTAAATGGCCCAACAGACGTCATGGGCATGTTTGTAACCTCAGAAGGTACCTCTCAGAGAGCACCGCTCAGCTGGTCAGAAAGATTGCTGGGACTGGGATATTCCTTTCCTTATGCAATAGCACTTGGAGCAAACTCCATCTCTGTTCACAGGTAATAAACAATCATTATGATATTTTATTTTATCCAAGTAAAAATAAAGATACTGTTAATAAATAACTTCAAATGTCAAATGTTTGGAGCAGAGACTTGTGTTATCTCACTTTACACAGACTCAAACAGCCTGAGACCAATTTTTGAACAAAAAATTAATGCAATTTTTGGCTTCTTCTAAAAGCATTATAGGGCAGGACCAAAAGTCCCAGAAGCAGTCACTTGTATTTAAGGTATGAGCTTGTTACCAAATAAGTTGCACATTGTATGTCTATTAATATTAAGTTTTCATATATGCCTTTTTTAGGTTATTAAATTTGGTATTCCTAATTGTATATAAATCAAACAATACATCATGTAATTATGAATCTTGTAACTGACCAAGCTCTCCAGTCTCTCCACAGCTCAGTGGTTAGAGTGCCGACCGGTATTTGGGAGGTCATGGGTTCTAATTCCAGTTTTTCTCTGTCTCACTCTTGCATTATGCTGAAAGCTTTATCTTTTGCCATACATGTATGCCTGATGCAGAGGTTTTGTTTTAAAGGGTGGAAGGATACTACTGAATTATGACAATCAGGTGTTTGTTTGTTCTCCAAGAGAGGTCTACAGTTTGGTGCAGCTCCCCTTCAAAAAACAGGTAACTTTTCGTTTCTGTAAAGACCAAAAGCTTAACGTTTCACTTTGTCCTGGCTGCAATAGTGAAAAGTGAAGTTGTGTATGCAAAATCAAGTTCTGTTCTGTCAAATGAAACTACTGATTAATATTAAACAGTTGAAATATGCTGAAAATATCAAGCAATCAAGGCTGTGGTCTAAGAAAAATTACAGAGAGCCCAAAGGTTCCTAACCACGAAATCCTGGGTGCCTAGCATGTAACTTTATATGAAGAAAAAAAGTTTTTCCAGTCGCCCAAAGGCAAAAGTTAGTTGTCTATGGCACTCGGATGCTTCTAGAGCACAGCCCTGGCAATTTTCTAGTAGATGTTGTTTTGTCTGCATAATTATGTTACTTTATAAACAGTGCTAAACAGGCAGAAGAAATCAAGTAATTTGGAGTTTTTTAATCAGTGTAGCTTGGCTACATATCAGTGTAGGTTGGATTGTTGGAAATTTGAAAGAAACCCTTGAAAGGTACCAGAATTGCATTTTGTTAGCACCTCAAATAATTCGTTAAGTTTTCCTGCCTTTATATTCATTAGGTGCAGATGTTGTTAAATGAGAAAAGAGTGAGTGAAGCTCTTCAACTGGCTCATGTTGCCATGGAAACCATGTCAGGGCCTCAAAGAGATGAGAAGGTACATAATGATTTGTTCTAGGTAACTGTAGTTTGTATTGAGAAATGTAGCACGTGATGAGCTAATGGTTCATCTCTGGGACTATGGATTGGAAGGCTCTTCAGTTTGGGTAGGTTACAATGTTTTCACTTAAATCTCACATTGCCACACTCTTGCTTTATCAAGCAGCGCTTTCAAAAAGACCCAGCACTTACTCTGGCAGGTATTCCTAAATGAATTACCAACTATTTTGTTAGCAGTGTTCAGCAATTGGTCCTATATTGGAAGTTGTTAGGGGTCTCTCTTATTGCTCTCAAATGGGTGCTTGACCTGAGGGCAGCCACTAATGTTTATACCTTATGGAAAGCACTGATGCAGGGAGCACTCGTGGATGGACACCAGAAAATTGTTTGGGCAACATGACAAACTGCTACTCAAAAGGTTATGTGTGCTTTTGTTGCAGCAACTTTGGCACAAAGTAAAATCATTTCCTTCTTTTCGCAACGATTGCTGCAACGAGAAGGTTGGGAGACTTGTTCATTTTGGAGGGTGTTACACTAAGCAATGTCTTGTTCAAGTTGTCTGAGAATGGGGCACCAAAGTTGCATGGGCCAGCACCAGTGGGCTTTTAGCATTCTAACTTCTCCAATCCTTAGAATTATCTAAAATGGTCTTTTACTTTATCGTACAGTTTGTAATTAACACGCTACAGCAGTTATTATTGTCATTAAAACTCACTTTGGGTCTTGCGTTACATGTAGCTTCTCAAAAGAACACAGCAGCAAGCTGGATTCATTTACATGGCAGAAGGGTATTTCACAGAGGCTGCAAGTCTAATGAGAGAGGGAGGACTGGATCCAAGAGAGGTATTTACAGCACATTTTCTCTGACCATTATGTTCATTTTGTTGGTGTTTAGTACTTCTAGCAAGTTGTACTTTTTTTATTTACCTTTGTTTCAGTTGATAATTTTGTTTCCCTCACTGCTATCATCCAACTGGAAATACTTACCATCAAGAGAATTGGTTGAACTCAGTGGCCTTGGTGAGTGCGTGCTGAAAAATTCCATTTACTTTAACGTTCATTTGATCGTTAGTTCTTCCTTGCATACTGTTAAAGAACTAGCGTACGTAGTGATGATTTTCCAGTTCTTGTTCTGATATTCAGAATAAAATGCGTGAATAATCACATCTCATTTCTCTCATCCTGGCAGTAAACAGGGAGCATGCTTTAATTTTTTGAGAAATAGTCTGTTACAGCAGTGTCCTTTTTGTGTCTTAGGTAAAAGCAAGTGAGTGAAACAAGTATTCCTGAACAAACTGTATCTTGTTTTTTCCTCATAGATATAAGTGATATTCTGATTTGCTCATCAGACAGGCATGCTTAACTTCAAACACTCTGTTTGGCAGGGAATACTTCTTAGCAATTTAAAAAAGTTTGTCTCGGTTTGTTCCACAGTGAAAGGCAGCAAGCAGTTTTTAGCAGAAGCTAAGCAATTCCTGATGCAGTACCTCGTAAGTTGAAAGTTGTTAAGTTGTTTTCAAAGATAGTTGATATCTGTTTGCTTCCGATTACATATTAATGAATTTAAGTTCATTGATAAGTTCTTACTGCTTTCTAATTTTCCTTTCACTCTCAGGAAGAAACCAGAAGATCTGCAGAAGACATGGGCTACAAAGAGGTGTGATTCTTGGTGTTTCCAAGAAATGTGTTGCCATAAACTTTTTACTTTCATGCCTTGTGACAACTAATTGCGATATTTAGTTAGGCTGTGTTGCAGCCACTCTCTCTGAAAGAAAGTTATCGGAGAGAGAGACAGCTCCTCTCCGATTTTTCCTTCCGAGGAGGGTGTCTGTACACTGGTTATTGTAGTTGACCGGTAAATTTTGTGATTTTTACATTCATCTCATATTTTCACTGCATTGCTTTATTGTTTTGTGGCAAACATAAGTGTCTCCTAGATACGTGGACTCTTGAATTAACCGTTCAACATACCTAAAAACAAACAAACAAACAAGAAAGGGAGAAATTAATTTTAGTAGTTCTTCGTTAGAAAGGGTTATATTCATTTGCGTTGGAGGAATGTCCAATAAATAATTTAGCTGTTCCTCGTAACATAATAAAGATATATGATCAGGTTTTCTTCTTTATCCAGGAGGTTGACACAGCTCTTGTCAAGTTATACACCGAAATAAATTCTCCAAACTTACAACATCTGGTGTCCAGTGAGAACTGCTGTACTGTGGCTGATACAATAAGCTGGCTTCAGAAATACGAGGTACAGTTATACTTACATATACACATGGTTTGGGTTGTAGACTGTATCAGAAAAAAAAAAAACTTAGTCGACTCTTTAAAAAAACTCCAGTCGAAACTCTAGCCGAGTTTCCCTGTGAACTACAGCGAGCAAAGTATGTAAATTATCTTAAGGAATCATACATAGGGCTCGACCATTTCTCTATTTCTTAAGTCAACTTTACGTAGTATTTAGTCATTAGTCATTTTATTTATTAGATTTTATGTATAGTGTAATGAGGGCCAGCAGTTTGTCACTGCTAACTGTAAAGTGTTTTTACCCTCGTCAAATAAAGTTATTATTATTATTCTTCTAAAGAAAGTCCTGTCCAGTAGCTTGGAGGTAGTGGATTTTGCAGCCGGGCTAATGGATTCTGTTCATCACTTTTCCCGATTAGAAAATGAAGTTTCGTAGGAAAATGTTTGAGAAAATTCAAATTACAGAAGTACTTTGCGAGACGAACGTTTTGGGGGCTAGCGAGATTGATATTCGGGCTAGTCAACATCATAAATAGAGCTTGGCAGAAGGGAAAGCTTGCAAACTTGTTTTCTTTGCACCCTGGAACCAGAACTGTCTTTAAAATAGACTGTATTGTTACCAAAAGATCACGCTTGCTAGAATGAAACATTTCGGTTACAAAACTGGTCACTGATCAAGGTCTTTTCTGCTCTTTACATCAGAGACACCACGCATTGGCATTGTTTTATTGTCACCACAAACAGCCTGCTCAAGCAATGGGTGTATGGAAAAGGTATTGTGTGTACTCCTTGTTCATCACACCCTCATGCCGTGTCTGAGTTTACAATTACAATGCGAAGACAAAGTGCCTGCACTCGCTTTTAAAACTGAACAGCAGTGTGCGAGCAGTTTTGTTGTTTATGAAGGTACTCTATAACATGTAGCCCGTTCCAGGCTCTCGGTCGCTGATCCCGCTCTTTGCCCGCCCGCTTTTTCGGTGGTCGTCCCCACTGAACGAGAGCTTGGAGCAGGCTATATAAAATGACCTTTTGATAGTAGAAGTAGCGATTAATAAGTAATAAGAACCAAGAGTGAGTGGTTAAGTCCTTTGAAGAGCCTGTTTCCCCTTCTAGAGTGGGTCGGGGGAAAACAGTACTGGTGAGGCTCTGGCAGAACGGAGCGCACTTAACAGATCTAGAACTTTAGCGTATTGTTTTTGTGATATCGTTTCGTTTTTGTCCCGAGTTTAGGATTATACAAGGGGAGATAAAAGATCGCAACTTCCCGGGCATGGAATATGTTGTGAAGTTTCTTGCAAGGTAAGACTTCAGTTGGAGTGTGATAATAGCGGTTCCAGTAGAAAGTTCTTTGTCAGGAAATCCTTGAATGAAATTTAGGTTATTTTGAGCTAGGGAGTGTGAAAGAGGTGTCGTCAACAGATACTTACAGTAAAACTGAACATGTTTCGTTGTCGGCTGATCCAAGAGAGTCAAAATGAAATGCGCTATTTGTTAGGATGTTGTTGGTAGTAGTGAGATAACAGAATGCTACATGTTCTGTTTTCATTTGCTATTGGTTTACTTAGTTCTCAGGATTCTGAACTTCTCTGGAATCACGTTCCATGGCTGCTGGAGAGAAATCAAGAAATAGCTGTGAAGGTGAACTAAATAAATCTCGTACATTACATGTACGTTCGCGGATTTCCAATAGGACATGACGAGTAGCGCAAAACGGTATTAGGCTTTCGTAGGTTTCAGTCTATGATTTTTGTGGTGCGAATAGGGCATCTGGATGCCGGACGTGCGCAGACGACAGAAGGTCATATGCTATTTGTCTGTTAGAGAAATTCAGAAATACTCAGGCCCGGTAGCCTCATGGTTAGTGCGCTCGACTTCAGATCGAGTAGTCCGGATTTGATTTCTGGCCGGGGACATTGTGTTGTGTTCTTGGGCAAGACTCTTTACTCTCACGGTGCCTCTCTCAACCCGGGCGTATAATTAAGTACCGGCGAACGTAATGCTGGAGTAACCCTGCGATGGACCGTAGCATCCGATCCAGGGGGGAGTAAAAATACTCCTAGACACTTCATGCTACTGAAACCGGGATAAGTACCTGCCTTATGGACCGCTTGGCTCGTATGCAGACTTAACCTTTCCTATGTGACCCCTGCAAGCGCACTTGTATCACTGATATGAAAACGTCCTTTTCTCGACCCTTTACCTTGTCAGCGTGGTGTGGTGTTCATTCTGTGTTCAGTCATTTTTGAGCAGGCGTCTTTTGGGAAACGCTGTGGTCGAATAGTAAATGCACCACACTCCAGATCAACAGGGGTTTTGGACCAGGTTCATTGTGTTGTGTTCTTGGGCAAGACTGTGACTACTCTCACCTGTAGTGCCTCTCTCTGCCCAGGGGTATAAATGGAAACTGGCAAGCTATTGCTGAAAGTAATCTTACAAAATTCCGGGGGGTCCTTCGGTGAACAAGCATCCCATCGGGTGGGAGGTAACACTGAATACTCCTAATAACTTCGTGCTGTGGAAACTGGAATAGATGAACCATTTGTCTCCTTCAATGCTCAGTGACATTTTTTTGGATCATGGTTCTAGGTTTTTACTGATAGACCAACAGATGAATCTCCTAACGATGAGAAGCTAAGACCAGACTTGATAGTGGAATACCTTCAAAGGTTTCCCGCGGCTCTTCAGCAATACCTCGAATATCTCGTGTTTGACAAAAAATTAGAGGTTTGTTTAGTAACTTGCCTTCATCATTTTGTACCAAAATTTCGTCGTCAATTATTTGCTTACTTGTTGCTCGTCCACTTTTTATGGAGTGGTTTTCGCGTGAGTGTCGAAAGCAATGCGCATTTTCTTTGGTTTTGCATTGCCACGTTAAACGATTGGCTTAAAAATCTCGCGCCACTTTGTCGTCCAATCAGAATTTATACCAAAACCAATCGTGACTCGCTTGCATTAGTTTTCCCGCGCCTCGTCTTGAGTTTTGATTGCTTCACTGGATTGTCTGCGTAATTTGTGATTGGCCAGAGTGATCGTTACTTTGGTTCTGGTTTTAAGACGTATGAAAACTGCTCTATGCTATTAATTAATTAGTTTTCATCTGTAGGCTTTAAAGTTAGAATATTTGTATTAGCTACAGTCGATATAGGGTATGAAAGCTACGAAGCTACTGCCGCGCAAAGGTAGCATTCAGTATATTTCCCTTTTTGTTTCTTCAGAAAGAGAAATATCACACTCATCTGGCGCTTCTTTATCTGGGAGAAGTGTTGAAAATGAGACGAGATCCATCTTGCTCCCTTGACAATCTCAGTAAACAAAGGTATGAGTTGAAGCGGAAACTATGCAAGGTTTATACCACTGTTGCTGTAATGGAAGTTCAAAAACAAGCAAATGAGCAATGAATGTTTCCTACAGTGCGAAATCAGTTCCATTTATATCCCCGTAGCTCCTGTTCTATGTTCTGTGTCGTGTACTTGATGAGTTAGATGTTTCTTCGATGGTCTGTGCTTTTCTCTGTTCTCTGTGGCATAAAATGTCTGTGACCGCGACAGAACGACTGAACTTTGCTCAAAATAGAAGCAAATTAACAGACAACCAAACAATAAACAGGGAAAGTACCTGACAGACAAATTTTTCTTTTTCACTCGTTCAAAGTTCAATACTTTACCAATATTACTCTTTTCAGATAATTTTTTTGAGTGTTTACTAAAAAGGGCCAAGTTTGCGGACATGTGGGTGCCATTTCTCAAAGCAATTTTGGCACTCACGATAGTGAAACATTTAAAACAAAAGAAAAAATGTGGAGAAGTGAAACAATTAAGCATGTTTACTCTCAGCAACTGTACCATCATATCCTTGCCCATGTTTTTACCTCATGGTGAATGCAATCCTCGGGAAAAAAAAAAAAGAAAACTTCCTGAGGCGACTCTTTTTTTTGGCCATCATGAGAAACTGGAATAATCGAAGAAAGTTTGTCTTAAAGGAAGGTACAAAGCAAAAGTATAGACTGCCGCATACGTAGTTTTCTTAGGTTAACGTATTTTTATTTGCCCAGTGAAATACATTACTTTTCGTTTTGATTTGGGACAGCTCAAAGTGTCTTGTTGTTGTGATTTGTTGCAGGGCTAAATTACGCCACATGTTAGAGTGGTCCTCGTTATACAGAGTGACTCTGTTGTTGTCTAAGATCAATGATGATTCTGATTTAGATGCTGAAGCTGCGATTCTTTATGGAAAGGTTAGTAATGCAATAATTGGTTGTCTCGTACTGAGAAAGATCATGGCACATTTTCAAATATAACAACTTGTTTACGGAGCAGCGTTCAATTTGATAAATATTGAAACACTGTGTCATGTTGGCGAAGTTGTCTTCATTGTATTGACCAAGTCATTCAAGCCTAACTTGCTGACCCAAGTGTATTTCTACTCGCCCTGGAGAGGGTACTAGTCCATCGCTAGTAACGATCCAACCTCGCCCCTCCCAAAACTGAACACGATTGTTCAAAACAGGATAAACCCAGGATCAGAGTTAACATAGAGTTTAAAATGATTAGACATCAGAACAAGACGCTATTTTCTTTCTTAGCCTGCGAGCAGGCTCTTCGCTTTTCCCATTCCTACTTTCTTTCACCGCAGAAGAGCCTGCTCGCAGGCTATTTCTTTTTCTTTATACGAGCAAGTGTTTCTCCTGAACTAGCCTGTGTAGATGGCGGGATTCGCAAACGATTGATTTTTGGCGGGGGAGCTCCCATTTTATTTCCTTATTCGCGAGCGGGAATTCAACTCGACTTCTCATCAATCCCCTCGCGTTTTCGCCGCCGAAACAAAAGCATCCGCACGCGAATTATTGCACCAGATCAATAATAAGTTCTAAGTAATTGTTTAAATACATATGTGCAAATAGGGGATTTTGATTTCGATTATACTCTGTTACTTTCAGATGGAACAACATAGTAAAGCTCTCAAGATCTTAGTTTACAAACTCGAGGATTTCACAGAAGCTGAAAGATTCTGCGAACTGCACTCTAAGGTAACAGCTAACGCAAATCTTCAATTTTACTAACCGAAACCTTTGGATGAAATAATTAACTGGTGTAACATGCTTGTGGTCACACTTTTTGCTCTTCTGCGAGTGTACACTTAATGCGAAACACGAACGTTCTTATCCAAGTGAAACCTGGAAAATCTCACGATTTCACGGGTGCGCGCATCCACGCTTCACGAATGCGAAGGCGTCCTTTCACGCTTCCACGTAGCTCCCTAGTGTTGCTTGCAGCTTCTCTGACTGTTCGTTACTTGCGCGCGGCAGTCATGAACTTAGCAACCATACCAACATAATTTTGGGGAGACGCGGTGGTCTAACCCCTCCCCCCCCCATCTGCGATGGACTAACAATCCATCCAGGGGGTAGCAATACTCCTCCCCACTTCATGCTACAGAAACCAGAGTTAAGCGCCGACAGCTATGGGCTCATTAGGCTTAAAAGGGATTAATAACTGTGAAGTAAACTTTTCTTTTTTTAAGCTCTTCTGGTATTGTGTTGGTCTCAATAACATTAATTTGCATTTTTTTCAATTATCACTTCCTACTTTGTAGGGTAAAGACAGAAACTTTCGAATGAAGCTCTTCCAAACTCTATTAGAAGTTTACCTATTACCTGATGAGTGAGTATACGAAGAGAGGAACAAACTACTGTGTCGACTGTCATCAAACTTGTAAAATTAGTTCTCACTGAAGTCTTGTATTCCCTCCTACAGAGACCGCGATCCATTAATCGCGCCAGCGGTTGCACTTCTGAATTCACACATGGCGGACTTTGACACGGCCGAGGTACTCTTACTCAGTTCTTCCCATGGATTTTTACGTGTCTTTTTTGACCAAGCCAAACACCTGTATTATATGAACTCAAACTGAGTGTGTTTAGTAAGATTGATAAGTGGTGACAGAAAACCATAAGTCTGAATTTTGCGCAGTCTTAGGGTTAGGGTTTCCTTTTTGTAGATCAAGCAACGTTAGTAAAACAAAGCCAAAACAAGCTATAACAAAGGAATTTGAGAAAACTTTGTCAGGGCGGTTTCAGCAAAATCAAAGTAGTCACTCTGGCCAATCACAAAGTACGCAGACAATCTGATGAACCAATCAAAGCTCAAAGTAATTACATGTAGCTGACGCGATGCGCGGGAAAACGAGTGCGAACGAGTCACGATTGCTTTTGGTCTTACTTCTGATTGGATCATACTATGATTGGATGACAAATTGGCGCGAAATTTTAAGCCAATCGGTGAGAGTGGTTTTCAATTGAGTGTCGTAAAACCAAAACCAAACAAACCATTCCACTACTCAGACAATCTCAGACCGTAGTTAAACCAAACCAAAACCAAAGTAATTGCCTGATTACTTTCGACTCTCAACTGAAAACCGCTCAAACGTAGTAATACACACCCCTCAGCATAACGCGAACTAGAACCAGACACAAATGAAACCGCTCTAATCAAGAGAAATTAATTAAGAAGTGCCATATTTAACTTAAAGACGGGAAGTATAAAATAAGCGCACAAAAAGTTTTCATTTACATGAAATATATTGGCAAATAATTATAACCGAAGAGAATTTTGTCTTTTGTAATTTCCAGGCTATGAAGTTGATCCCTGAGGAATGGTCCATTGGTGTGATCTCTCAGTTCCTCAGTGGCTCAGTTCGTTTAAGTCTTCACAGAAGTCGTAACACAAAGATTCTTCGCAGCTTAGCACGAGGAGAAAACATCAAGGCAAGTCTTTACTGTAAATCCATCTCGTGTGTGACTTGACTCGCTTTTTCACACTTTTGTCTAAGATGAGGATGAGGACACTTTTGATGCTTATAATGAAGAGCTTACATGACATTAGCGTGACATATCCTTTGTCGTACAAACAACATTTCTCAATGTTGGGTTTGATTCAAACAAGACGTTGCGTGACAAACCCAGCTCTAAAGCGATCTGGTTCGAAATGGCATTTGATTGGCTAAGAGAGACAGAGATAAAGCAATCAGTAGGCCTAACATGAATGCATTGCGAGAACGGAGAATCAAATAGAGCAGGAAAAGTCACGCAAGTCAAGTCATTTTGAATATGGTGTTTGAACACGCATCGTTTGCGAATTAGCATGAGCGCTTTGCACCAGTATTTGAATATTTCAGTTATAAACCTCGAACCAGAAATGCATAGGTGCTTTGAAAAGCTGCCGTAATTACAGTCGAACTTCCACTAACGGCCACCTCTCTAAAACGACCACCTTCCTCTTACCCCAAGGTTGTCTTTGTAGAGAGGTTCAACTGTACCTTGGAATCTCACAGAGAAAAGCGATCTACAATGTAAATAAGATTTTCCACTCGTGTGCTACCTGCAGCCAAGGTTTCAGAATGTCTCGCTTTACTTCTGAAATGTGTCGTTTATCGAGACGATTTTTTGTTTTAAAACGCAGTGTGTTTTTATTTCAGATGCGAAGCTCTCACATGATATCTCATAAAGCGCATCTTTTGGTGACGGAAGAAAGGTGGATAAGCCCTTATTTAGCTACCGTTAAAAGTCGATAAATTACATGTTTAGACAGCTGATGTTTTATAACGTGGAATTTAGTGGAGGAATTGAGGGCGCAACATGGTAACAGATAAAGTATCTATCTCCTATTTGCTCCAATGATGAAGAAATTCTCGAAACGCCAGTGTAAAAGTTAAAGTATGAAAAAAACAAACTGAAAATCCTTTCCTTTGGGTGCTAGTTGAACAGGTTTTAGTCACTTTTGAGAGACAATTTGCATTTGTTTTCTTCAGATTATGTCAAGCTTGCAGGCGGCCTTTCAATGATCCTGCTGTGGCGCGTTACCCCAATGGCGTAACAACGCACATACACTGTGCAAGAAATAAGACAGTGTGCCCCGTGACAGGTCACGTGTTCTCATCACTGGAACACAGGGACGAGGCTAAAGATGACGGTAGTTGAGGAAGTGAATATTGACACTTTTCTAGAACACAGGCTGTAGGAGTGTGATGAGTAAGAAGGTCATTTTCTCTCTCAGCATTCGCTTACATCGGTCTACCAACTGAGAGTAATGGTTTAGGACAGCGGCAACTCTCCTTGGAAACTGCGTCAAAACGATAGGCAGGCACAGACAGGGGCAAGAATTTTAAAAAGCCTACTATAATCTTCAGAGGTTCCATGCTCAAAGACTGACAGTCACTTTCTTAATGACAATCATGTGCAATCATCTGAATATTTCCAAGAAATGCTGAGAATTTGGAAAGAAATGAATGCAAAATGTATTTTACGCCATCTTTGTACATACTATGGCTTGTACAAAAAGAAAGAAGAGACGAAGAAACGCTGTTCCTGGTGAGAACAGGTCTAGAATAATCAGTGTGTGTCAGTCTGGTGCCTTTGTACTTATGTCGCTACTGCATGCTGTCTTTCTTATTAATGAGGGTTAACTCAAAGCACTTCTTATGAAAAAAAAAGAAAAAGAAAATATATATGACTGGATTTATGAAAACTGTGCCAATGAAAAATGCATCCCTTTACACCAAGTGACCTGAACACTTTGATTTTACGACTCCTCAAGGCCTAAAAATCACTCAAAGCGATTAAAAAAATAGAGAAAAGCACCTAATGGAAGATAGGAGAGTGCAAGAAAAAAAGAGATGGGCGAGATTTTCGTTAACACTGTTTAGATAAATCCCGATTTAAGAGGAGAAAATATAAATCTCCTTGGCAATAGAAACGAGATGTCAGAAAACACTAAAGAAGGATATCAAATATCCCATGGGACTATTCTATAGCTACCGCTGTTCCCACCCAAGGTTATGATATCTTGGATTTTACTATCATTTTTTTTCCTGCATCAGGAATTTGCCCAAAAACTGTAAATAATTAAGGTAAGAGGGTCTTAAAAGCTGTGAAATCCATTTTGCGTGCTCAAAATCTACGTGTCTGTTGTTTGCTGAGAGGTGTGGGTAGCTGACTGGAAAATACTTCGCGATTGAGCATTAGAGAAGTTCGTCATTTTGATTGAAATGCTTCAACAAATGAAGGGGAGGTAAGTGTTTGGGTTTTTTCATCGAAAATTGAGCATTCCGGGGCTTAAAAAACAACCTCGATGTAAATGAGTATTTTTCCCATTAGCACGATTCTTTGTCGTCTTCCCTGACAAGGCTATACAACAGGAGAAAAGAAGAAGGCGGGTGTTGTGAGACAATAGCAATCCTACAATCTCAAATATTTAACACTCCATTTTATTCCCAAGTTATGTTTTTCCATTGTCGTGACTTTGAAATAAGCACATGATTTTCTTAAAGCAGCCCCTTACATTTCTCGGACAAGCGTCGAGTAAACCTAAACCCGTTACATTTAATGGCTTATTTTTGGATTCTCAGCAGCCGAGTGCTTTAACGAAGGCCGATGGCCGTGCCTTGATAATTTGTCCAGCGGTTGCTGCTCGTGTAACAGCCGCATCCTCCAAAATGCAATTCGGTCAGGAAGAAGAACTGGTTCGGCATGGTGCGGACAGGATTGGTGATGGACCAAGCTGCATTGCGCCAGTCGACAGCTACCCCTTGGCGTTCAAATACCGGGTTATTGGCGAGATAAGAGCTAGGGGCTTGGTGGTAGTGATTCGGCAGGAAGGCGAACAAGCTGTTTGGGTTGGCATCACAGTTCCTAAACTGCACGATGCGATGATTGGAGGTGAAGCCCTGGATGGCACGCCGTGCCGCTGCATGTTTCGGAATGATCCCCAAGAGGATGTAATCATGCATGAACCTGTTCACTGGCGGCGTGTAGCCCGTGTAGCTGTTCACCAGGACACCAAAGTTGTAACGCCAGTAGTAGCGGTGTGGCGTGATCAATGTGTAGGACTCTTTGTGCTGCCCACGGTGCTGCAGCTTCAAGAGAACTCTTTTTCTCTCGGTGAAAAGAGCATTGACGACTCGCTGGGCATCCGACCTGGTAGTGAGGGATCGAGGGAGAAACGTGAAGCCACCACCCCCTAGTGCCATCTCACAGTACACAACCAAGGGTAAACCATGGCGTAAAGGTCTTATGACGTAAATACCGCTAGGTGCTCGGCTGTTGAACTGCTTGATCTGCTTACAGCTGGTACGGAAAGAGTGCTGATGAAGAAAATAATAAAAATAACAACAAAGAACCTCAAAATAGCCATTGTAAAGTACACCCGTCTGGTGGCGTTCATTCAAGATTTCCAACAGAGGAGACCCTTTTTGGGGGTTAAGTGATCATGAANATCGAACGTGGCCCATTAGCTAAGGGCTGCACACACAGGCTAACTCGTGAAGGAAGCAATACCTGTAAATCGATCTCCTGTGCGGCTTGTCTCGCAGCTCCTCTAAAGAGGGGATCTACTCCCCCTTCCCTCGATACTCTTTCAGGTGAGAAGTAAGCGTCTCTAAGAGGGAGGTGACCGTAATGAGACATGGTACCATTCTCTTCAAACCGCCACAAGTGAGTGTTGACTTGACTGTGACCGAATCTGACATTGAAAGAGAAGTAAAGGCAATCAACATATTACGCTTGTGAACAGAGGGCTTAAGGTTTGTTAAAGGTTTGTATGACGACTCCGTTCAGGATAGAAAGGATTATTTATCCACAACCTATTCTCTTGTCCACAGTCATTCATACTTTTGAAATCGACCGAACGTTCTTTATTGCTCAATCAAAGATAATATCTCTCTTTCAACATGTATTTAGTAAGAAACAAAAGATTTGTGTCAGATAGAGCTAATGTGTTATCCTAAAGTACTATACTTAACGGTTTACTTTCAATTCAATCGATATTTTACACTGATTGAACACGAAGAAATATATCTTATTAACCAAGCGCGAGGGCCGTTCGGGGAGAGTTCGAGGTCTAAAAAGAACGGACCGAGCGCAGCGAGATCCGCACAAAAAAGACCAAGGGCCAATATTCTTCCAGTAAGGTCCCAAGAGAGCTTGATTAATGGAGATTTATTACAAGACCGAAACTACCAGGAAAGCTTGTTTTCTTGCGGGATCATTCGGGTCAGTGCCCGGTCCAATACTTAGAGGATATTTGACCGGCAATGGGGTAATCTGATTGCTTGAATTTAGTTCCTGGACCTCTGAACTAATTTAGTCGTGTAATAATGCTACATTCTGAAGCTGATCCTATACGTCACCTTGAACCGTGTAATTACATGTATTACGAACCTGAAAGCTGCAGTGGCCATGATGTTGCTCATGCCAACGTTGACGCTCTCATTGTACCCCTGATAAGGTGGTATGTGATCGGTTCCTCCCAACAATGCTGGCAGGTATTCACGGAACGTAATAGCCTGGAGCTCAGCCGCCACCAGGCGACGCGCGGCCTGGAATAGCTGTTCGTCTGTAGCCTAGGTGAAAAGAATGGGTCTTATGCAATTAATCTGTGTTAGTTATTCTGAGAAACAACATTGTTACGTATGTTGATCGTTCAGAGAGTCAAACCACTGAATTTCCATGTCCTTGTCGATGTATTTGAAACTGTGCAATGCCACTTGTTAAAGTTCCTTCACGGTTTGCGCATCTCGTCGATTGTAATCCGTGTCAATCTTCTCTATTCATAACCATCCTTGTTCCTTAATAGTGTATTATTATCTCTTTGCCGTTTTTCTATCTTAGAAAACTAATAACTTCAGTTTTTCTACAATTTTGGTATGTGGCCAAAATAACTCAAAATGCTGTGACTGAGTCCTTTAAGAGGCAATTTTGTGAACAGTTAGTATTGTGATATTTACCAGTGGATCTTTGTTTTTGAACTCGTCACAGAGCCTGTTATGTTCCCGCACAAACAGAGTGTGAAATGCGATCAACATCGGTTGAACATTAGCTCTTGAATCGCCAGCGGCCAATAGACTGTCTGCATCACGGCCCAACGGATTATCATTTGCTATGGCCATCGTGTTTTTCTGCTCGATAGAGAGGAAATGTTTTAACAAATCAACTGAGTGATTACCACATACCTTAAGATGACATGAAGATAGAATACTGCTACTCAGTCTTCACATTCTAGATGTTAAGCCACCATGAGTACCGGCGTGAAGTACAATTTTTTATGTCATGAAGCAAGTAGAAATAGACCCCATCTTCCCAACGCCAGGCATTGTGCTACAATTTCCTCAACCGTTAGCCGTAAGCCGCTAAATTATATAACATAGACAGTATGGAGCTCATACGATCTAAGGTAGTGTCTTGTCTAAAGGATGCAATAACGATAACCCTGCCTGCGCAGGTTCGCTGCCCTGTCGCCACTCCACCCCTAAGACCTCTGTCTGGCTGCGCCCATGCATTAAGGGAGAAAGAGAAGGATCGTGAGCACAAACTAAGGGTCTTCCCTGACAAAAGAACGTAAAGCGAGATTCGCAATCAAAAAAGGTTGATGAATAGTGTGGTCTGAAACTCCATCTTACCGGTATGAGACCATCAGGACCAAGCTTCATCTTCCCATCTTTGAATTCTCGTAACGCCCCATTCCTCATTTCTGATTCGCCATACACGACAGAGCCATCAATATATGAAGTAAGTTTATTAACCTGTTGTCTCGGAGTGTCTGTATGGCGGCCAGTGCACCTGATGAAAAAAAAAACTTTTACGATAAAAACACTTCGAGCTCATGTCCGAGTCCACTCTTGGTTTTTCGAATACTTTTAACTACATCGACCACTTTTGGTTGTTAATAACATTAAGTTCAGTGTTACTAGTAAATCGAACCTGTTGTAGGTGGAACGCACAAAAGGAAGATAGATATTGCCTTTGTTCAGAGGATCAAAGTGGACATCTCCCTGAATGAAAATAACGAATTGATCAATGATTACAAATCGATCTAAAAACTTATCATAGATTTTCGATTTATATAATTAATGCTTGGGCCGTGGTGGTAATAAAATTTGCTAGCTCGCGTGTCTTTTTTTGTGTGTGTGTTTTATACCCAGACTTCTCCGAGAGCTCCAAACAGCAAGAGATAAACTTAATCTTCTCTAATGAATTTAACAAAACAAACCAATATCAACTCAAAACCATGCTTGCTACACTGCTAGGGACCAATACTAGGGACATATTGTGAAGCACACCTCTGGGAATTTGGGGGCATTTTTTAGTGGAATTTAAAAGGGGTTTATTGCCATAAAACCTTAAGCGGAGGGAGCTCTTGTCGAGAGGTGCTTAATGGAATAAGGATGTTATATTGGGTCATTACAGCGTGTATCAAGTATGGCTTGGTTCTTGGACTCGGAACTGACCTTTGGTACTTTAATGGGTAGCCACACGTCACTCACAACTCCTTGAAACTCGTATCGGGGCAGCGGGCTAGAGAAATCTGTGTCATGCGCCAAAAACTGAGAAAAAAGAACAAAATTTACACACACAAAAACGCAATCAGTAAATTCAGTGATTCTTAACGTCCACTTAGAAGCAGGAGTGAGCCACGCAAAAATTACACGCCCCGAGAGATTACTAACGTATTTACTTACATAATCGTGAATTAAGACCGGATTTGTCGAATTAGTGAAGAAATGAGCAATACATTTAATCCGGGGATTTAGTGATCAAACGACTAAATACCACCCGCCCGATCGACAGATTAACTGTTCTTGTTCGACTGACTGACTGACTGACTGACCCACCCACCCACCCACCCACCCACTCACTCACTCACTCACTCACTCACTCACTCACTCACTCACTCACTCACTCACTCACTCACTCACTGACTCACTGACTCACTGACCGACTCACTGACTACCGACCGCTCGATCGACCGGCCGACCGACTGATTGATCAATCGACCAATTAACTGTCCATGTCCGACTGATTGACCGACTGCCTGACTGATCTTGACTATCTGACCGACCGCTCGAGCGATTGATGGTTTTACTGATCGATCTGACAGGGCAACTTGCTGGTGATTAGCTGCTCAAGTTGGTTGACCCTATGACTGACAAACGGACCAAAGGACTAATGAATCAAGGAATTTGTTACCTGTCCGAAGTGTGAATGTAAATCGCTTAGTCGACGGGCACTAATCTTGGATTCAGTCTACAATTATACAAAAAGAATGTGCATTAGCGTCAAACCCTTACTTAACATAGTCTCCTGTTGACGTGAAATACAAGAAACAAACTAACGAACAATCATGTGACATTGGCCATTTTTCGTCACCCCTCACTAAGCAGTACGCCAGATGTATGCCAGATATAAAATGTCACACATTAAGTAGCCTCGCCTACGAGCCTGTCGGCCCACAACTAGCAGAGCTCAACGGTTAGGGGAATTGCTACTCCCCCCGGTTATTATTAAGTTCCGCTACCAGTTTACCGGTACCCATTTATATATCGTGGGCGGAGGGAGGAAGAAACTCTGGCAAATTACATGAGCTGTTCTCTTTAACTAGCTTGTAGCTCATTAAAACACTCATGCCATTTTCCACTCCACGCAACTTTTCACACCTGTTGAAAGAGACTGTTGCTGACTTTTCTCGGTGGTGGCCTGTGAGAACCAAATCCGTTCACTTCATCAGTATATCTGCATTTTTTTGTTTGTTTCTCTTGTGGGGTGCATGTCCCAGAGGGCAGTGCGATACCGTCAGGGTACATGGCCGGTACATCGCGTGCCACGTCCTCCATTGCAGCACCCCACCGCACGTGATGTTTATTGTAAGATGTACCATCTAGACGTCTTGAAAGATAAAGAAGAAGATAAGGTCTGAGTTACAGCCTAGTAGCCTATAGGTCGGTGCTCATATCTGGTTTCTATAGCACGAAAGATCTAGAAGCATTTTAAAAACTCGTCCTTGAATGGGTTCATCACAGTATTCAATCAGCAAGAACCCAAAGATAAACCTGGCTGGAGAGAGGCACGGTGAGAGTATGACCCTTGCCTAAGAACACAACCCAATGTTCCCGGCCAGTGCACACGTTTTCTATAAGGTCACCGCGACTCCCTCCTCAAAGATAAACTCAGCAAAAGGTATTCATTAAATAAAAAAGAGATGTTAGTGACTACTTCAGAATGTTATGTCAAAACAAGGTATATCTGTTTCTAAAAACAACAATAAGAGCGTTAGAATTGCCTTCCGCCCAATATGCCCACAACTTACCTTTCATCTGTTACAGTCGGTATCGGTCCTATTTTTCTACCATCCTTGCAGTCTGCGTTATAGCTGTAGTTGCGTTGATAAGAAAATACCAGGAAACCCGAACTATTGGCGGTCAGCGGTTGTTGACCCGGACTGGGAGTCACAGTCACTGAGTAGTCGAAGACCTCAGTACTAAGCTCCATTGGATTTGTTCCGGGTTTTAATTTGAAGTTCACCGTTTTCCCATCTGGATTGACAATTACTGTTGCATGAGGTGGCTGAAAATAAATATGGGGTTTTAACAATTATTGGAGTTATTTGCAGGTCATGTTGTTGGCTCTCGGCCAATGAAAAGGAAGAAAAAAGCGTCAAATGATAATAAAAGTTATTTTTCTTTTATTAAAATTGATAAAGAACTGTTATCATAGTAGTAAACCAAACGATTTCTCAAACCCTCTCACTACGACGGTGAGATTGTGTAATGAGGGAAAATTGAACTCCAAGCAAAGAAAAACGAACAAGAATACAAAGCCTTAACTATAAGTTCTCGATGAAGATGAATTACCTTACCTGTTTATTGATCTCCGTTACTTTCAAAGTAAAGCACTTGCCAAGAGAAGAATATGGCAACGTCTTCCCCGAGTCAGCATACCTCAACGATACATTTAAAAGGATCAATCGGTTGTCAGAGTTTACTAACAAAAAACAAACTAAAGCAATCTACTCCTTCAACCGACGTGTGGTGGTGCTAATATCAAATATCTATCCTCGAGGAGACTGGCTATATGTTTTGTACGCTAGGAAGTGTGGGATATTAGCAACGACACTTGGCTTTTGACGAAAGTGGAATTTTATTTCATATCAAGATTCAGAAGCCAGTGCTATGCTTCGAAATAAAATGAAATCTTCCAAAGAAATTGTAAACGTATACAGTTCTACACAAGGCAGTAAGGGGTGAAGAAAGGGCTTCCAGTGCTTACGCCATTTTTAATTTAACTTTTTCTAAACTTTCTTTTATCTACACTATTGATTATTTTGGGATTAAGTGACATCTGCAATCAGATTCAGATTTTCGTCTTCTTTCTATGAATTTTTTCCCCCTGTTCACGACAGTAGCTCCCAAAAGTGATTGGACGACCGCAGTTCTGGAGTAAACCATAATACATACAAATAACAAGTTTTATTTTTATTAATATGCAAATTACCTTTCTGGCTTTATGATTCGAATTCTTGTATTAGGAATCACATTCGTGTATGTCACGTCCATGAAACTAGATGGCCACGCGACTTTAACGGTAACATTNAGGAAGTTTGATCCAGTTTATGATTTTTGTCGCAAAATATGCGATTTTTGCCCACTTTCCTCTCCTTTTTTAACTTAGTCCTCTATTTTTTTCTTAATCGTATCTGTAACAAGACATATGAACCTGTTCTTTCTACGGCAAAGAAAGCCTCCAAGAAACGTTTATCATCGTCAAAGTAATCAACCTTTGACCGTATTTTAAGAGCAGAAGGGTCTAAATCCTTGAGAAAACTTTAGGTTTAACACAATGCGAATTACAAATGTACAAAATATACTTCCGACGATCAGTTAACCTACCGATGTACGACACGTATTCGTATCCACTTGTTGGACTCATTTTGCTGATTTTGATAGAAAAATGGAGCTCCCACATTATTACACACTATGATGTCTTCGTCGCCATCATCTAAAAAGAAAAATGAAATACATCTGTACTAATGACACAGTATTCTCTGAGTGGTGCACCAAACAACTCACCACGAATGACTCGCTTGTTCTTTACCCCGGGGGGAGGGGGAGGGAGTACTCTACAAAGTTATATACAGGGAGGCCCCGCCCCGAGGTATAACCCCTTATCCTTTTGCATACCATTTTGACAGAGAATGCACCCCTTCGGTATACCTCTAATTGAAAAAAGGTACTCGTTTCACATTCTTTCATAACTAGCCCGTGTTATTTTCATACAGTGCCCAGTAAATGAAATGATACAGCCATAAGGTGCGTTTGTTTTAAATACATTAAAGGCCCTTTAAAATATTTAAATGACAGATTTCCCTACCTTTTCATGTAACTTAACTTACCTACCCTTTTGGAGATCTGAAGGCTAAAAAAAGTACCCCTTTCGGGAGGAACCTTTCCCTATAGGCCATTATAGGGAGTTCACCCCTCCCCCTCCGGTTCCCTACACAACAGCAAATCAAGTTGCACGTAGGGATGTTTAGCTTCTGTACCCCTCCCGGGGAAGGGAAAGTAAGTTTACCCAGGGCCGTTTTGCGTGGATGTCATTTGCCTCTCGGATCTCGAACTCTTAACCTCAATTCACACTGAGATAAAAAATTTATTTTTCCAATGGCTTTTTCACTTCTTAGTTCTAAAGTTCGTACACTGATTCGGGTTTCAACTTTAAGCATCTCAGATCTGAAACCAATTTCTCTCTGAAGTTTGTTCCACTAGATTTCTCATAACTTTCTTACCGTCATAGTCCCACTTAAGCAGGCCCCGTCCTTGTCCCGTGCCATTCAGGCCATACAAAGCGGACACCTGAAATTGACATGCGGAGAAAAAAGAAAGACAAAAATCTTGAGAATTTAATGAAAACACATCATCGCCTCCTTATGGTTTCCTCAAGAAATATTATTGCTGAAAAAACCTGTTACTTGTCTTGAATCACTAAGGAAAAAAAATTAATCACAGATTGAACATAATAAAACAATCGTTTACCTCTCGTGTTGTTTCATTACGACCAGCTCCGAGGTTTTGCCACAAATGCATGCTATTCACTCGAAAATGATCATCTGTTGTTGTCGTCGGGAAGTCGATACCTGATAAGAAATTGTAGTAATCGGAAAATTACTAACTCATAGTAAAAGGACAGTTCTAAAAAACCACTCCCTCAAAAACATGTACGCATATTAATTCGCTAAACGCTTACCGCTGGTCATAATGATATCCAATAATCCATTGTTATCAAAGTCCACGAACGCAGCACCCCAACCCCACCCACCGTTTGTCACACCGACCTAAATAAACAAACAAACAAACAAACAGACAGACAGACAGACAGACAGACAGACAAACAAACGAAAAAGAAAACAGTCAAAAGGTACTATGATTTATGAAAGGCTCAGCAATGATTAAACGGGCCTTGGGTATTTCAACAATGTAATCAGTATGACCATAGAGCGGTTTTCAGTTGAGTATCAAAAAGTGATTAGTTTTGCATCAACTACGCTACACGATTGGCTTTAAAAAATTCGCGCCACCCGCGCTTTTTGTCAGTTACATGTAATAATTTCGAGTTTTCCTTTGTCCTTTTTGATTGGCTAGATTGATTTCTTCGATTTGAAAATCGCTCTTAACAAAGCAGTAAGAATAAATATATATCAGAGAATAACTTTGTATCGTCGCTGTATTTCGGTTTCAAGAGAGATCGCTAAACTTAGAAACATTAGAACTGATCAAGTTAGAAATTAAAGTTTAAAGCCAAGCGTGCGAAAGTTAAACGCTTCAAACAAATATTCTTAACACTGAAAAACAAACTGCGCGAGTAGGTAACTGAGTATGCGAAAAACAACCTACTAGATTAACTGAAGAGGACAACCGTATAATTGAACCAAGGCTTGGTTTTGGGAATTAAAGGGCTGAATTAAACTGTGGATTTCAAGTAATCTCTTTTTCAAACTTCCTCAGTGTTCGATATAATGAACATGATTTGCTAGTTGCAATAGTCCTGCCGCTATTCTTGTTCATGACCAGCCTAAGAAACGTCTTTATCACCTGCTTTGCGATTTCTTCAAACTGTCGTCCTCCCAAATTACGGAATAGCACGTTTCCACTGCTCTCAAACTTGCAACCGAACACGGAACAATCAGTTCTGTTGTGCCATATGGCGCTAGAAAACCAGTCAAGATAACCATCATTGTCCCAGTCCCCTATCGCATGGCCCATAGCGTCCTGGAACGAGTGGCAAATATTAATTTACTTCAAGAATAATCTAGTTTACGTTAACTGTTGGAAAAATCTGTTGCAACGGTGTTTATCTGTGAGAGTGCGAGCTCGTGGTCAGGGAACGATCACACGGCGCCAGCGGGCAGGGTTTGATGGGAAGAATATACTGCACGAGGGCTGGTGAGAACAGAAGAATGAACAAGTGACTAGTTAACGAGGCAGATCCATCAATGATTACGAAATATGTAAATGGACAGTGATAAATAGTTTCTTAAAACTATTAACTGTACTTTGTTTTTCATTGCAAAGATAAAAATAAGAATAGAAATAAGATAAAGCCAATTGTCTATTACAAAGGTACTAGCGAATTTATTCCCGTATAGTGGAAAGCAAAAATTAGCAAAACTTTGAACGCATTGAATGTAATTAAAATTCATTGCCAGAATTCAAGGCTAGTAGTAGCAGCATACCATCTGTTCACAAACAAGATTTACCTGCTTTGCTTCAAGGCCACAAAACTTAGTACATTCCGTGAAGTTGTTCTTCATATTCCAAAACATTTTACTGTCTCCATAGTCTGCAGTCACCAGCAGTTCTTGCCAGCCGTCATTGTCAAAGTCCTAGAATAAATCAAGATAGATTTGTTACACCAAAAATTACAAATTCGATTGCAGCATAAGGAGATCAGCATTAAGATAGCTTCCCTCAACAGCGTCTTATATGGGGCCGGAAGGTTAAAAGTTAGCAGCTTTCCTCTGATCTGTAGCAGAACAAGTGGAACCGCGACTCACTTAAATTTACACTTCCTTGGTCCGTGTGAATTGTTAACATCTTCCAGGCGGTTTCATTCTTCATTGGTAGGATACGAAAACAGGAATGTTGAACTCAAAAAAGTGAATTCGAAGATGTGCCCCTTTGCCAGTTTGCCATTTATTTGCCAGGTACGGAGGACGAGGGTAATGTTAGTTTCAAGGTAATTTAGGTCGATTTTAAAAGAACTTTGTGGTGGATTCCTGCCTTTCCCCGTAGGGTATTGATCAATTCCTGGCGAAAATTGCAAAGATAAAGATATGACTGGTCTGTTGCAGAGGGCTGTCGTGTCGCAGAGCAGCGGCACAAATATTATGAAACCAGATAAACAGCCATTGCTGTTCAACAGCACTTTACAGGCCATTTCCCAGTTATCTTGTGCCTCTGTTTCAAAACAAGTTCTCTTGCAAAACGTTTCATAAGAAAATGAGTTTGATTTGCATGAAAATGAACATGTAGGCAGAACACATTTCCATACGAATGGCTTCGTACTAAGACTCGTTTTGACACCGAGGCAAAAGACAGCTCGGAAACCTAAATGGCCTTTTGCGGGGTCTATTGCAGAGGAGTGACGTCGAGCAGCACGAATGTTATGGATCCCGATAAACAGCCACCGCTACTCAACAGCACATAATTGGGAAGTCAATTTCATCGATTGTTTAGTAGAGAAGTAGGAGACTGTCACGCATTCGACTTACTGTAAATGAGGAACCAAACGTGTAGGTTCCTCTGTTGAGTAAAGACCTTTTGTAGAAATTGTCCATATCTACTCCTGCTTCCAAGGTAACATCTTCAAAATACCTGGGGAACAAAAGAATTGTTGTTAAGCATCGCTACATCCACAATAACACCTATAACAGTTTAGTTCGCCGTTGTCGAAAGGGACTTCTCTGGAAGGAATCTTGGAACAAAATGACAACCAACAAGAACGTTAAGGACTGCATTGTGTACATGCTTAGCCGCATTAGTGTTAGCCTGCGTGACAGGCGTTCAAATGGGAGGGAGGGGGAGAAACCAGAAAGTGTGAAGCGTGATTGCTGCTTTTAGTTTCCCACTTTCCTTCACTTTAAAAGCCTGCATTATTTTAAATCGTCAGAGACCAATAAAAGGGTAAAGGTAAAGTCTGTATAAAAGCCAAGTGGCTCATCAGAGCGGCGTTTATCCCGGTTTCTGTTGCATGAAGCGACTAC